TTGTTCTGTTTTACTTAGTTGTCGTAATTGGTTGTTTTAATTTATTTCTTTAATTATGTTAATTTGAGTTAATGGGAATAAATAGGAAATTAATGTGATTTAATAATTTAATTGTTTTAAGTTAAATTAAATTTAATTGGATTTAGTTAGTTTGCAACGTGACTATAGTTTTATGGGGTTTATAGTTTTCATAGGCAGCCGATATTGTATAACTTAGGTTTGCCTATGGGCCGAAGTATACATGGATTAGGGTTTAATGTTTAAGGTTATAAATAGGTTTATACGGTGGTTTAGGGTTTAAAGAAAAACAAAACAAAACCGTAGGTTTCTGTGGAGGCATAGAGGAAACAGGGAGGGAGAAAGCAAACAGAGAATTTTACCGGAGAACTTGGGAAGAACCGTCGGTATAAGGCAAGTTTTATATCTAACTCAATCTCTTTGGCTTGTGTTCTTTACATCTCTAATACAATCTCAGGATGAAATAAACTTAAATTAATTTGGTTTAACTTAGTTTCCACGTTAATTGGTTTTAAAAACTATATATGTTTTGGTATGTGTAATCTGTTCGTTTTGAAACTGTTGTTGCTTGTTCTTGTTCTGGATGAATGTAATTAACAAGTAATGAATTTAAATAATTTTAAAGCACCTTGGGACTTAGTTTTAACCAGTAAGGAAGTTGGTTTGGAGGAACAAAGTAGCTAAATACTGTCGGAGTGGAAGGAGATGACGAACAGGGGAGGAACAAGTTCACCAAAACGCAGAGCAGGCTCCACTATGTGTGGAGCCGGCTCAAGGATCAGTGGAGGCGGCTCCAATGTTTAGGGAGCCGGCTCCTTCAACAATTTTTTAGTTTTTCGTTTTTCAGAGACAGTTTTGGTTCGGGTTTCAGAATTTGGTGTTTCTAGATGCAGTTAGAAGCTATACAAGGATGTTTCAGTAGCATCTAAGTCATATTAAAGGTTCTGAGGGTGTAATAATACATAATAAATCACAAAGAAATCGGTGGATTAAGCTGTTATAGTTTTAAGTGAACTTGTGAACTGATTTTTGGAGGTGGAAGATTTGGAGTGTATAACCTTATGAGTTGTTATTTATCTGGGAATGGATATATTGTTTAATCGTGTTTATGTAATTCAAACTAAGCATGTTAAGTTACAGAATGATTATATATTTTTTGGTTACAACGTTGTAGATAATTCAAGTTGTTTAGTTTTAAATTAGTGATTGAAATAGGAGTTGGACATGTAAATCATTTAACAGTGGTATGAGATTAAGCCGGTTAACTAATGCACATTCAGTTAATGCTTAATAAGAAACGAGTTGGTGGTTATCAGGAATTATTAATATCCACTTATAGGATGTTGTGGAGTAATTACAAGTAAGCATGTAAATACTGTTATTGTTATTATTATGCTTATTGTGAGTTATGGAATGATGATATTTATTCTTTGCGATTTGAATTTGTTAGGGAATCATATACTGGATGTATTAAACAAGCCTGCTCTTTAAGTATTCTTGTAATGCTTATACTAGATATGTTGATATTTATTGTCATCTATATTATCAACACTGGATGGATGGATTGTATGCACCGGTATGGGACTGTGTCATATTAGGGGGATTAGCTCAAAAACGCTAAGTCCTACATACGCTGGATTAAAGGATGGAGTAACTACAAAAGTTAAGTCCTACCTGTATTTTGTGTCAGATCACTAAATAGTTGAATGACACTCTCGGTTTGGAATAGATTTTAAATATATTTTTATGGTGCTACAATATGAGCCTGAGTCTCAGAGTCGTTGGTTAGGGAGCGTATATGCATTGGGATGCATAGCTGGCTACGATGGTTGGAGGTGTACCCTGTTTAGGTTAGGTACACATGCCCACTTCGTGTGCGTTTTGGCATGTTACCTCTATTCAGGTTGAGGCTGGCCTGTAGGCCAGTGAAAGTCCTTTAGTGTGATTATATATATAGACTTACGGACTATTAGTTATTGTTGGATTGTTATGATGTACATGCATATCGGACCTCTATTTGGATTGTAATAGTATAGAACTTGCGCGTGGGCCTGACCCACTTCTATTTTTTAAGTACACAACAGTTCCAGACTTAGACGTGTTCGTACTGAGCAGAGGTTTCTATTCACTCTACTGACGATGTAGGATTTCTCTTCATAGCTTACTTCTGAATGTCTTATCAGTTATTTTTATCACTGTTTGGATTATTATAAGGGGTCCACTAGAGATGGATTCCCGAGTTGTACCCTTGGAGGTTTTGGAGTTGGATTATTTAATCTTTATTATTTGAGGATTTTATTTTAGTTTCTTTCAGCTTAAACTTTATTTCTTAAATTCATTTTGTCATTTGTGTTCATTACGTATTAATTGTTTGATATTTCCCTTGGGTTTAGGCCTGAGCTTGATTAACCCGTGTCTCGAATCCGATGGGTATCACACACTTAACATTAAAAGTAAAACCACATTGACCTAATTATTCAAACAATGCTTGAATCATTGTACGACTTACCAAACTCTCTCTTTATGATTTTAGCCTTTGTATTGTATAAGTTCCTAGATATTGCTTGAAGATTTGAATTACTTTGTTGAAGAGATGAAAGTATTTGTCGTGGTGGTATTCATGCCTTTGTCATTTTCTTAATTTGCATGATCTCTTTGTTTTAAAATTGTCGGCAAGAAGGATGTCCAGACATATTGATTGAAAGCTTATGATTATGCGACATATTTTTTTAACTCCACCTTCCAAAATTCATCTTTTCTTTTACCCCAAATTTTAAATGGACAATTTATCAAACGAGATGCCGTCAATTTATCAAACGAGATGACGTTATCCTTTTCCTTTGTTCCATTGAAAATGATGGAATCACGGTATTGACCTCCTCCATCACAGATAATGATCACATAACGATCTCTTATGGACCTTTTAATATTAGTGGCAAATTCTTGAGATATTCCTATGTTACGAATACTGTCAATAAACTCTTCCTGATTTGAAAACTTTTTCTTGGATAGAGAAAGCAACTTGTTACACCCAAGTGTGATTACTTGATTTTTGGTGTCCATTTCTTCTTTCTTTTTCACATCTGTAAAATTTGTGTATCTTAAAGCCCATCAAATATATCATAAATAAACTTCAATATTTTGTACCAAATATTTTCGACATATAGATAGAATCACATTGTTTTAAGAGAATATAATACTATAACACAAAAATTACCATATGAATCTCAACTCTTTGCTTGAAACCACTATTAACTGCACTATCTTGTATAATTAGTGCCCAACTACATATCACAAATAAATCATTCAAAGTAAAGCATAGTCTCAGGAACAAGATCGAAACCACTGTTTGAGCAAGGGCAGTTAGTGGGTAACAATTAGTAAGTAGATACAGTCGGTGTTATATATCAGAAGTACCCTCACAAAAGAACGCATGATGAAAAGTATCTTATCAAAAGGTCCCAATACGAGTTCAATTATCAATAAAGATGTAGCATCAAAACTAATTAATGCATGACATGACCACTTAGTTAAGTATGAAAGCATGTGATAAAAATTGACGATGATACGAGAACGAATTTGTTTCTAAAACAACTGAAAACAGAGCAATCCAATGGAATGAAAAAACATTACCAAATTCATTTTTTTTTTTCAAAAAATAAAAATAAAAATTACTATTCTCCCCCTCAACCGCACTGCCTACGAACAGGGAGGCAAATGAGAATTGAATACAGTAACACTACTTTTCTTATCTCTAATCATTCCCACGGGTACAAGAAGGCAATTATGGCAAGTGAATTTAGGGAGTGGTTTAGTTTATTATTAAAACACAATATATAACCAAAAAATTGATTAGAATTACAAATGCTTAAAGATTAGAACAAGTCAAAAAGTATAAAAATTATATATAATACACATCTCTGTCTCTTTTTGTTTTGTTTTGTTTTTTTTTTTTTTATTATTTACAAAATTCGTGTTCTTAGAAATTTTATTGTTAAAACAATTAGGGATTTTCTTAACAAGGTAAAGTTCAAGATTCAAAGACAGTCCAAATTAATTCTTAAAAATTACATAAATTGAAAGAAAAAAATTCAAATTAAACTCAAAGAACACAATATGAAAAGAAAAACAAAAGAATAAAATTACCATCACCATTAGCATCCATGGAATTGAATGGCTCATTAAGGTTTGATAGTTTTTCCATACTTTCCGTGCTAATAAGATCAATTACTTTGTTCAACTCCATCATGTCTTCATCTTCGAGATCTTCCATGTTACTTGCAAACATAAATACCAACAAAGTACATAGAGAGGAGGTACAAAACGTTAATTGGGGAGAGGCAATTGTATTTTTTTTTGATAAATCAATATATTTCCATAACTGAAAGGGTAATTGTGGTATTTTTAAAAAATAAGGATAGAAGAGTCATTTTCTTTACAAGTGTAATGTAAGTGTGGAAAAGTGGAGTGCCGATATTGCCTCCCTAAATTTAATATTAAATTATAAGGTAAATTTTGTCATTTCACAACTTAATAAACGGGTCTGTCACCGATAGGTGGTAACTTGATAACATTCTTAAGTTCGGGGCCGTTTAATTTTAGTAAACTTTTTTTTACACGAAAGTGATAGTAGAGGGTGTTATGTGATTTTTTCCCAATTAATAAAGCAAACCCAAATCCATCTCAAAAATTTTCAAATATTGACAAGAAATAGAATTTAATCATAATTTTTTTACTTGACACGATCCCAATTAAATTTGAGCTGAGTTGAAATAGAGTGAAACTCGGTTTAGCCGGATACATTTACGGCCAAACAATCCACAAAACAAAACTAAAAGGTGATCAAATTTGTTCGATTAGTTAATCTTAGGTTTTAACGGCCTCACCGAGAAAATACACCGTCTTTGCGCCCAGCCTTGATGAGGGAGATATTTGTAATTTTAAGGAAAGAACGCTGATAAATTGGTAATTTGAAGTACAACCAGTTCTAATCACCGAGACCTGCAATGGTGGTACGAGGGCAGCACCACTCTCTCTTTGAACCAAATCACTTTCTGTTTGTTTGTTGAGAAAATCGGGTAAACAATACTCTGCCAATTAGCTGATTAGCTTAGTTCAGCCAATTTGTTGGGCGGTGCTGAGTTAGTTTTCATTCATTTTCTTTCCTTGTTTCTCACCAGCCAAACAGTTTCTCAGGTTTCCATTTCTAATTTTCTGGAGCTGCCTTCGATCGTCTTTGATCATGGAATCCCCCGAAAAATCCGAAGAAACTGTCCCGTATGTAAGAAACTCTCTTCCTCTATTTATGTAGCATTAAGTTTACATTTTCATATATCCATCGAGTATACACATGCAATGATTATTGGAAAAGTAGTCTGGGTTTTGTATTTACCAATCTGCTTTCATTTTAAATACTTGAAATATTGGGTTTTCATGAGCTGATGATTTCTAAATTGTGATGTGAATTCAAAGCAATAAATCCAGAAACCTATTTGTTTGAAATTGTTGCTTTTAAGTGCCCTGTAATAATAATTCCATAACTAAGCTTCAGTTCCTTGTTGCATGGATTTTAGAAATTGTGCATCCTTTAGGGTTGTGGGATTATGTTTAGTCTTGTATGATCTGTTATTATCTTTTCTAGAAGTGAAAGCCAGAACTCAGCTAAGCCACATGGTTGTAGTAGGTTCAGTTCCTCCCCCTTTTTCCTTTCTTTTTTCTTTTTTTATTGGCCTTAAAACTGGGGACTCAAAAATTTGATCTTGTTTCTTATGCAAAAACTTCTCAGCAGCCGATAGTTATTTTGCAATGCATTTGGTTGGTGCAAAGATAAGACTCAAATTTAGTGATGGATGACTCATTGATGCTGTTGGTGAGTCTAATCAGACGTTATTTATCCATTACATAACACTTTAGATTTCATTTGACAACCGAATAAAAGGATGTACCCGTATATATGTATATGTATGTGTAGAGAGGGATTTGGGATGGGTGGGGGTATAGTCTATTAATATTTGTTTTCTCTCAGGTTATAGAGATGTCTGTCTTGGTCAAAAGATGCATCAATTTTATACTTCAGTAATTTGACTTTTTTTTTTTTTTTTTTGTAACGGAAGGTGTCTATACCAACGGGCCAGCGGTCGAGCCTCAGTGAAGGCATGGGTGTGTGAGTACCAACTAAGAAAAAAAAAAAAAAAAAGGTGGTGTTTGCAACCCCTTTTGTAGGCAGGATTATTTCCTTCAGATATCCACAGTCACCCCAAAATTACGGTTGTTGAATAAGCTTAAGGCGGAGGCTCACATTCGTGATGCTTGGAGGGTTACGCCTCTTTATATTTGGTGGTGCATTTGGCTTGAGAGAAATCGGAAATATTTCGATGGAAAGGAGAAGCCTATTTCTATGCTTAAGTTCTCTATTATTTCCACTCTTTTTTGTTGGGTTTCAGGGAGAGATTATAGATCTATAGAGGAGATTGTTGTTTTTTTGGCCCCTTTGAAGGCTTGAGGCGTTTCTTGGCCTTTTGTGTTTCTTAGGGTTGCGCTCTCCTTTTGAGTGCCTTTTTTAATAAAAAATTTACTTATCAAAAGAAAAAAAGAAAAGGCGGAGGCTGCTCCGAGGAGTTGAACACATGACGTCTATGTCATGCCCAAAAGCCTTCTGCCAACTCAGCTACCCCATGGGGGTTTATTTGGATTTATTTCAATCCATTTATACTGCAAATATTTTTGTTACTCCTTAATCTCCATCTTACTTCAAGTTCCTTGCTCAAATCATTTGAATGAGCAAAGGGCCTCCTAATAATTTGATATAAGAGAGAAAGCTCTATAATCATTCATATATCCTATCTCTTCCTTCTGTTGTTGCAGTCATGTCTATGTCTATCTTTGACCTTTTTTTATCTTTATCCTTCAGGCTGATAGTTGATAGCAGGCTGCCTGTCATGTTTGGTTTCTTCTCGAGGAGCTTTTATTTAAGTTGGGAGGGATGTCATACTTTTGAATTTCACTTTCTAATATTTTAAATGATTTATGGAAAGAAAGCTATTTTTCTGTTTTGTATGGCATTGAGATGTTGGGTTAGGAGTGTGGTTCAATCTAAGGTAGTTATGAAGGCAACTTATCTATTGCAGACCAAAACGTTTTTCTGCTCTTGAAGAAATTCTTGACATCCTTTCTTTAATCTTTAGATGCACTCTCACACACCAAAAAGAAGAGAGGAAAAAGGTATTATCTCACCGCACCTGCATACAATAAGTTCTATTAGCTTTATGGGTACATTTGATTTTATATTAGGTATCCCCTGTTTATTGTACAATGCCACATTGAATTATTGGCTTCTTTTGCATGTGCACTGTCGGACCTTCTAATGATAAAGTAACATGTTGACTTCATTCTAAAAGAAAGAACAAAACATTATCTTTTTCGACAGCAATCCTTGCTTTCCAAGTTAACTGTGTCAATCATGATTTTATCTTTTCTATGTTAATTAGTCTAACCTCATCTCTTCTTTTATTAGGGAACTCCAAGGATGGCTGGAATGGTCAACTTGGGAACTGCAACTGTCGTTGGAGTATTTGCCGGCATGTTGTATGGAGGTAGCAAGGAGGCTTCTGCTTCTGTTGTACGTATGCATTTGCAAAATATGCTTCAAATGCGTATTATACTTCCTTTAGGATTTTTTTTTTCAAATGTAGTCATCTACTGATATTCTTTGCCCTCCTATTCCATAAATTCATGCATAATTTGTTGAGTATGTAGGCATGAGAAGGAAGATTAAGAGTATAATAAAGAAGGTTGGACAACATAGATACCCATGATATCTAGAAATCCAACTGAACAAATGAAAGTTCAACTTTGAAATTTTGATGATTTTACTTCTTTAGAATAGATGAGTTATTACCAGTTATGCTTCATGTCTTACTATAAAGTGAATCATCTTGTGATATTATGCCAAACACATGCAGTATTTAATCAGCATGGAAGCAAGAGAAGAAGAACTATAGTATGGGGGGAAGATTACGCACATAGATATGAAGATAACTAAAAACCTGACTAAGGAACTGAAAGTTCAATATTTGTAAAATTGAACTTCTTATTAATAATCTAATAAAAACTTTGAAATTTTGATTATTTTACTTCTTTAGAATAAATGAGAAATTACTAGTTATGCTCATATAAAGTGTCTTATTAAATTTTTTAGAATTTATAAAAAATATCAATATGTAACTGTGTTCTCGTGTTCTTTCATTTGGAGATTTATTAAATCCAACACTAAGACACGCATATATGCTGGACGCATGTTCCTTAGTCGATGTACATAGAAAACGGCACTTGGAATGCTAGTTTTGTGATCAAGACAAATTGTTCATTTTATAAGTTTTATATCTTAAATGATTGATGATGATTATCAAGAGGTCTACGACATTTGGAATGCTAGTTTTGTGATCAATCTTTATTTATTAATTTTTTTAAGACAAATTGTTCATTTGATCAGTTTATATCTTAAGTGATTGATGATGATTATCGGGAGGTCTTTGTCATGTTTTGGCAGAGCAAGGATGCAGAAGTAATGTTGAAGCTTGGGAGCACGCCTGACAAGCGTGAGCAGTATCGATTGATGAGAGATGCAATGGAGAAAAGATTCATCCGGGTAACTCGGGGCTCAATAGTTGGTGGAGTGCGCCTTGGAATGTTCACTGCTGCATTTTGCGGTTTACAAAATTTGCTTGCGGAGAAACGAGGTGTGCATGACGTCTATAATGTCATCGGAGCTGGTTCTGCCACTGCTGCGACATTTGGTTTAATTAGTAAGAACTCAATTTTCATGCATCAAATTTCTCTCTCTTTTATTTATTTTTATTAATTTGATTGCAAGATCCTTTACAACTTTTTAATCAAGGTAAAATTTTAGTGATGGATTTGATTTAAATTGGCATATTGGTATTCTCTTAGGGCCCGTTTACTAACACTTTCACTTTCTTATTTTTAATCTCTAGAAGTAAAATCATAATTTTCATTTCTTGAGTTGAAATAGAAAGTAAAATGATGTTTAATAACAAGATTTTATTTTTAATATTCTAAAAGTAAAAAACAGAAAGTAAGTTTAATAATTATAATTATAATTTTGTTTTCCCTGCTATCTTTCTCTCTCTAGATTTTTTATTTTTTTTAATCTGGGTTTGATTATGATGAGTGCAGATTTTAGCATAATGATAAATCAAAACATCAGAAAAATTGGTGTGAACCAACCAATTGGCAGATTCATTACTCTGGTTGATTCCTCCGCTTCTATTGTGCCTCTTTTGTTTGCAATCAAAGACACAATGGTTTTGAACCCTGTAACTCTTTCCCGTAAAGCTCTACCTTTGTTTAGGAATTTAGGATTCTCTCGCACACCCTTTTCACATTTTGCTAACCAGACCAAAATCCCCACAAATCCACTTCAGATAAGTGGTTTTAGGAGTTCTTCAACCAATTAAGACTAAATCCAAGGAAATATGTGAACAAAGGGAAGATAAAGAGAAATTGCTATTGGAGAGGATAAACAAACAAAAGGAAAAAAAGAAAGGCCGCCTTAGCTTTTGAGATTGGCGCTTGCTCTTGTCCTGATTCGGGTTGTTTTTAGCTTTTTTATCTTTGATTACCTATTTTTCTTGGGCTGTGACAAGTGGTTGAACAACAGTGAGCTTCACGAATTCGTTGGGAAAGGACGTGAAAACACAGCTTGTCGCCAATGATGGAGAGTCGACTTTGCCTTTATGTGACTGGTTCAAGTTGATTTGGGTATATTATTGATGGGTATGAGAGAGGAGAGAGATGGTTGTGGCAGTGGCTATGGTGGGGAGGAGGTGGGTGGAGGCGATGGTGGTGGCGGTGGCAGTGGCCATGGTAGGAGGAGGCAGCGTGGAGGCGATTGGTGATACTAATTTTTGAGGTTTTTATTTATTTATTTATTTATTGATAAAAAATGCTACTGTAGAGAAAGTAATTCTTGTAAACAGTGTAGAAAGTAGAAAAAGTAACAAATCCTCACTTTCTCTTTCCTTCATTAAATTTGAAAGTATTTTCTAAAAGGTGGAAAGTAAAATTATATTAGTAAACATAATTTTTACTTTTACTTCACAATTTTAGGAATTGATAATGAAAATTAGAAAGTAAAAGTGTTACTAAGCAGGCCCTTAGTAACTTTTTTAGTAGTTTGAGATGCCATCAATTTTTACCTTATTATTTTTGGATTTATATTTTATGGTCTGGTGTGATTCTTTAGTTCTTGTAGCATATGTTACCTCACTTTACTATTTAATGATTCTAGAGTTCTTAAAAGTTATTCATGCATATGCTATAACAAATTTCAATTCATAGTAAATGTTTAAAGCAACAATTATCAATATTTGAAGAAAATGCATTTTCAGAGTGTTTGTGGAAAAACTTTTGAGAATGGTCATTTCATGGTCAAACAATCACAGTCTCTCTTAGTCATTGAAAAAAATCATGGTTTCTCAAGTAAAATGTGGAATGCGTTCATTGGGACAATAGTACATAGGCTCATTGTAGCGTCTTATCTTAAAGAAAAGTGTGGTTGACTTTTGATGGTTATTATAACTTCAATGGCTTCTTGGAAGAAGATTTGAAATGGAGTGGATCTATAGTAGATTCATGTGAATCTAGGTCCAGAACCATATTTTAATGTTGGGATCCGTGTTCAGATCCTAATCTGAATGGAATCCTATGGATATCATCCACAGCCAACCCATATAGTTTAAGCAGGATCCAAATAGAGTAGAATATACTTGAGCAGTCAGGGTCATATCTCCTTTGAAAGTGATCCATTTAAGAATTAGTTATTACCAGATCCATATCTGGTCCGAATCTGCCTTGGATCACTCAATGAATATCCATACCTGACTTGTTTTAAGTTCAGATTCAACGTTAAAAGTCAAACTGTTATATTACCCCGCATCATTTCAAGCCGTAAGATTCTTCCAAATAGATAGCATGAATCAAATGGGAATTTAAAGTGAAAATCAACTTATCCTAGCAAGCAATTTGAGAAAGAGTAAACCGAAGTGTGCAAGAAGGATTAGACCAGACCAAAGAAAAAGAAAAAGAAGATCATGCAAGAGAGCCTGGCTCCTGATGGTGGTTATAGCTCCAACAACAACAAAATTAGTGATGGTGATAGGGAGCTCCAGCAGTAATGATAACCTCTAGCTCTGTCCAGATTGGTGATGGCATTGTGAGAGGAGATAAACAAGCACAAACTCTAGGATAAGAATAAGAAATTCTAATCTGTCTATATATGTGAAGGATCATTAAGTTTAAATGGAAGTAAGGGCATTTTGATTCTTTGATCAGGGCACACGGGGTGGCTAACCTGAAACCCAATCCTGCCTGAACTTGATTTGGGTTTGACATCGTATTTCCTAAGCTTCCTTTACTATGTTCGGGTCTCCCTAAACCCATACACTGTAAGGGTGGGGCAGGCTGTGTTACCAGCTTATGCAAGTTGATTACCATCCCTACATAGGGCAGGTGGTTAAACAAGCAACAGAATCTAGAAGGATTGCATCCGCATTAAGTTAGAAGTATCGTAGGTTGAAGATGGGATGAAATAAAGTTAATTGAGATGTTTTGGGTTTGCAATGAAACTAATGATTGAATTCGTTAGAGACTAATGTAATTCAAGTTAAAGTCACAAGAAGACAAGTGATGCGGAAAAGTATTTGGTAGGAAATAGAAAAAGGGTTGATGGCTTACAGTTCAACATTTTGATCGACTGTTTTAGAGCTCAATGACTGAAAAGTTCCATATAGTTGAAATTAAATAGTTGAATAATGCTTCCTTATATTGAGTTGGGATTGTTCACAAAATTCGTGGAAAATCCCCAAATTCTTCATGGAATTTCCACTTTCTGTATGGTTCTAGAATGACAATGTATGCTTCTCATGTAATCGTATGTTCACAAAATTTGTGAAAAATCTCAAATTCTTATATAGTTCTTGAATGACAATGTATGCTTCTCTTGTAACTGTACATCTGCATTCATTTGATGTACTGTATACTTCATAGTTCATTCTTGATATTGCTTGGAACTAATCTCAATATTATACTTTGCATCACTGTAATGAGATATTGCTGCTAAATAATCTCAATATTACACTCTGAATGACTTCCAGTGACAGTTTTTAGTCTCAATTTTGTCAAATGGTTATCATAGAATGAGTATAAAACAACCTTAAGGAGTTTGTTGACGCGCCTTACAATGTCCATATCTTCGCCTAATGAGGATTATGGATATTGAAGTGGATGGAAGAGTAGTCACTTGTGATATGACAAAGGGTCCGGTTCGAGTAGACTTAGTTGGGAACCCATAAACTTTTGAAGGGAAAAAAGTGATGGTAGTGAAGCAATGTGGTTCCTTGAGTGTGATGGTGGCTTCTTGAAGGGGTTACCGAGGTGTGCAAGGGTAAAATGGATGGTAGAAGGGGATTTTCAATGAATAGGATATCATAGTTATGGCAGACTTGGTAGCTGTCCACCCTCTTAAATGTAGGCTTATGGCCCTTATATAGTGGTGGAGGGCTAGTAAAGACCCAGTGTAAATGGGGACGCAAGAGACCTTACTGAAATTATCTAGCTAATGCCTATGGGATACCTAATGTCATGCTTTTGTCTAATCACTTCCTTCAAATGTTATTTAGATCCACATGGACATCTCATCACGTCAGAAGAACCTCACGGCCCCTTTTATCCCTTCTCTGTACAATGATGTTTGCCCTGTATTACCTAATCCTGCCACCATAATAGGCTATTAGTTCTCATTTAAGCTAAGAACCTGCCAAGTCACCAACGTTTAGAACCACTCAATTCTCAAAAAACCTCCTCTGATCCCGTAGAATCTCTCCACTTCCCTTCCAAAAAAGCCACTTGCTCCTGAGGAACCATCTAGTGTACAGTACACCCCTTTTATTGCCACTACTCTCTCTCATTTGCCTGGATTACACTGGAGCCATTTCATCTTGGATCCTTGACATATCACGAGTAAATCTTCCACCCTTCACTTTTTTAAATCCATAATTTTCATATTGATTTAAGTTACAAATTTTTATGCTGGCTATTTACTTGCTACAGCACTTTGTAACACATGCTTTTAATTAGTTGCAACCTTCTTGACAGTATTATGATCTTTGACACTCTTATTGCTGAATACCAGTTGTCTTTTGCACTACTATGTTTGCCAGGGAGGTTGCAATTCTGTCTACCATGTTGGCCAACAAAATTGCATGCTTAACATCATCTCTTGTGCCGTCTATATATTGAGAAAAATCCTTTTATAATTCATAATTAAAATTTGAATACTCTTATAAGTTATATCTGCTTCCAGTATTGCTGCTGTCCCATATGTATCTAGAGTATTTACATTTGATGTTTTGGATTTAGTATTCTATAATATAAATCCACTTCTGGAGTTATGGGATTATAACATGAAGTCGAAATCTATCCCCTTCAATTTGGAGAGGATTCTAAATTGCACCTTTTTTCTTTTTCTTTTGCTTTGTGTTTCTAGTGCCAGGATCACTCCTTTGGCGTGCAAGGAATGTGGCGTTGGGTTCAGTTATGGGTGCAGCAATTTGCTTCCCTCTTGGTAATAGCTTGACACCCTGTTTTATCTTCTTGGCTATTAGTTAAGATATAGTTACATAATTAAGTTTGATAGACATTTTCTATTTTTATTTATTTATTTTATAATAAAAGCTCTTATATCATCTTTATTCCAACCATTAATTGCGGATCTTCGAGGACTTTGTGGTTCTATGGATGGATATCATTAGAATTGCTACTAATAGATGAAACTGTCATGATAAGTGTTGTATCTATTATTATTTACTAAACTGTCATGATAAGTGCTTCTATCTATTATTATTTACAAAACTGTCATTATTATTTTAATATTTAAATTTGTTTTGTAACAAATGTCAACATTTCTGATTTTGAAATATTGAAATTGGTACAAAACATAAGGATTGTAATATCTCTAATAATTATGAATAGCAATCATCCTCTTTGTAATTCTCTTATTTCCTGAAAAAATCTCATACCTTCTCACAAAAAGAGTCTTTTTTTTTATCTTTTTTTTTTTTTTTCACTTTTATTTTCTTTCAAAAACCCAAATTTATAATTGCTAACAAAGATCAAAGGAAAAGTTGCAATCATAGTAAATTGAGAAAGTCAAAACTCAAAATTTACAAAATTAATTTGTGACAGGTTGGCTCCATTTGAAGCTTGTCGAGAAAGCGAACGCAGAGAGATTTTCTACTTATCAAGAGCTGGATGGAAGCAAAGAGGCAAAGAGTGGTGTTGGTGCTGCTATTGAGCGGCTTGAAAAGCACTTGAGTAAAAAAGACAGCATTAATTAAATTTGAGCAAACAAGCGAATGCAACAAGAGAATAAAGAGTGAGCTATCTCTCTGGACAGGATTGTTTTTTTTTTTTTTTTTTTTTTTAGAAGGCAATATGGATGGAGAATTCATGTGGCAAGAATGATTATGATGATGATGATGATGATTAGGAGTTTATATAGGTTTTTTTGTTTTTTTAGTTGGGACTCACACACACTGCCTCCAATGAGGTTCGAACCCCTGACCTCTGTTTAGGAACTAGGAGCCTTGTACCGTTAGGCCACAAGCCTGTTGGTTGGTTATAGTACGTTTTTAATTTTTTCTTTTTCTTACCTGAAAATAAAAGGAAAATGGATGTTGTTTCGTTTGTATTTGAGATCTTGAGACTAAATGTCAATGTGAAAATGTAAGTTGAATGATGGTTTTCTATCATTTATCAACTTTTTCTTCTGGTACTGATCTGATTCTTGTTCACTTGTGCCTTCTTTTATGTCATTCTAGCATGTTGCAACTAGATTTGACGTTGGGACAAGAACGTTAAACACTAACCCCCTTCTTTATCATAATATATATAGTATTATGGTTTAGGTGCCATGTGTGTGTGTGTGTGTGTGAAAAGTAGTTGATTAGAGAAATCATTCCTTGATTTGATTAGGAGACAAAAGGATAAATTGTTGATTAGAAAGATGGGAGGTGTTTCTGTTTACTTAACCGGACTAAAATCCTCTCCGATTGTTGTTGTAGGGGAGAGCTCTTTTCCCTTGAATGAATGCTTGAGAAAATGTGAAAGATGTCTTGTTCTTCACAACCTTTGTTTATATCCGTTTTCATGCAGTCGGTATCATTTATGATATTATAAAATAAAAAAATAACACAAAGTTTTACCATGTCAAGAAAGTCACTCGTCCACTTTTTGTTTCAAGGGTGACTTGAACTTTCCACGATTAGGCTATGTAACAGTTCAATTAGTTAGGTTAAGAGTGTCATTGTAATATGAACTAAAAAGAGAGAACAATTTGTGATACATCAAATGAGGTATTGGTAAGAAGTTGCAACTGCGAGTCTAAATCAGAGGACATTCTTAAAACTCGCATGTTATATGATAATTTTTGTTAAGAGTACTGCTACAAAAACTGATCGGTTTTCGTAGTTACTCCAATAAATAGAGCTCAAAAAGGGCTTTTGTCAGCTTTTAAAAACAACAAAACAGTTTTTCTGGATACTTATTTCAATCACTAATCCCTACATTAAGTTGGTTATATTAGTCCGTGTAACAAAGTCGTCAATTATATCATTTTTCTTTTTTGTTAGTAGTGAACACCCACAAAATGTTACAACAAATTTTGAAATGTCAAACACCAAAACTCTGAAATGATGTTATGGGTTTTGGCTGTTGAATGTCTTGAAGGTTGCATTTGGATTGATGGACAGAAAGGGATGTAATTTGGTGGGTAATTTTTTTCTGGTAAGGCAAGAAGTGTTAGATGTTAGATAATGTTAGTAGGTGCAGAGTTTCAAGCCGAGGCACTCCAAATTTCACGAAAGGCTCTTATCCAACTAGACTGCGAGACATCTGCATTTGGTGGGTAGTTCCTGGTCTAAATTGTACTCTTCCCCAATAAACAAAGGAACACAAGACTGCACAATGCAAAATATTAAACAGGGGAGGATGAGAAAATAAGATTATTTTGTATAAGCTTTTACACCATCCATGTATTAGTTACAACTATGCCACTCCTCTAGGAATGGTTATCTAAACAAACTTTTCATTTTGTATATCCCTCAAACCAAGACTTGTAATGGTTTTCAATTACATTTTCCTCCTGTGTCCTACATCTTCATCTTCATCTTCCATGGATTAATAATTTTGCAAGTTTTCACGACCACGAAACTGGTTTAGTTTCGTATAAGATTTTAGTCCGAATCACCTGGCACCACGGTAGGATTGAGGAAACCACTTTGCAAACAGAAGTTGTTTCGTCTTCATTATTAAAGCAAAAATCCCGTAGCATGGAAACTGCATCAATGCCATTAACAAGTACCTGCGATAAAAGAAAAATGTCACTTTAATAACCTACGTACATAGACAAAACTACTAAACCGAAATATTTTAGGAGCTTAACGAAAACTCAAGACCAGTGATTCTTGAAATTCTGGAAGTACTGAGCTATACAAACAAATAATGGAAAAGACTGCACTCTGGAAAAACGAATCGAGAATATATTTTGAAGAAAAAAAAAAAGTCCAATGGTAGAAAATATAGGCATATTTATCTGCAGAGCTATCGGCATTTGACATGAATAACTTGCAAAATAGTCATTTCCAAATGATGCACGAGGGGAATGAACAATCGAAAAGACTGCATTTAGTGCAGCCCTTTCCAAGATGAACCTTATTTTTCACAAAATTAGCTGCTGATTTTCAATAATCAGTATACACAAAGTTCTTGTTAAATAAAGCTTAAGTAGGTTTTTCATTTCCCAACATTTCTTCAGAGAAACAATGTTTAAGATTACATACCATAGTGGAGCAAATGGAGAAGACAAGTCAAGGAATGGATATGGCCACCTGTTGCAAATAATTGTTGTTAAAAAAGAATGAAACAGAGGTTTTTCTGATTAAGAGGCAAAGAAAAAAAAACGAAAAGAAAAAAAAAAAAAAGACTCTTACCCGATTGAGACACTTGCATGAACAATCCATTGGAAAATAACATAAACATCTGCCCACAGGAAGAAGTATGCCATTCGAAACCATGGGAATGGCTGCAACGGGAGAACAATTCAAAAATAAATCATAAAAAGAAATCGCGTTTTAAATATCAGTTGACACCAGCATGAGCTGCAACATACCATGCAATTCAAGGCAGTGTCACCAAGCAGCAAAACGGCATTGACTGTGTGCATGTTTACAAGAGACTGCAATATCAAAGATCAAAACACATTGTTTCGGAAACAGAATTCAGATATGTATTTCAAACAACAGGAATAACAGTTTCCTCAAATTATGTTTGCAGTGATTAATACTTTTAAACTTTGACACAAGTCAAATTAGTACTTTTAAGCACAATATTATGTTTTCTAACCGTTTCATAATCTGATGTATGACAGGTTTAGTCCATATATGATAGACATGCGCGTTTAATTATGGCAAAGGATAGTTTTACAAGAACAGTAAATTACTTTGCATCTATGTGACTATAATAATCCACTGCCAAATTTTGCAAGAATTTTGTTTAGATACAACTAATATAATTTTGAATTAAACAACGCGATGTAATTACTTACGAAATTCAAACTGTAATCTTTTGATAGAAGGTATGGCACAAGTATGAACCAAAAGACGCAGTCCGTAAGCATCACAGCTCCTGTATTAATCTAATACAAGGAAAGGAAAGAAGAAAAGAAGAAAAAAAAAATCAACAACTTGGCAGAAAACAAAAAAAAAAAAAAAAACACTACCATATTACTTGTTAATCACAATTATTTAACTTTCTTCTACTTAGCAGTTTCTCATCCTGAAATTAAAAACCAATCATTCAAGCTGCATTAGAATAAAAAAAATTATCTTTTGACAGCAAAATGTAGAGGTGAATGGCCAAAATACTGCATTTGTTCACAAACTATTCAACTGAAATCACTAATTTTCGGCAATTCACCTGGAAAATAATTTGAAAAGCATAACCCAAAAATCCTGCAGTTTGGCGAACACGAAGATTTTCAGTGTGTCCCGAGCATTTCGCTGCATTTGATGCATTAGAATTTTCTAATTGTGTAGGAGCAGCATTGGTCCCTTGCTCGGCATCAAAGTCCTGATTATCAATCCTATCTCCGCCAGTTTCTTTGTGATATTGGTAACATCCATACATTGAGAGCAAAGATCCAATCTACAAACACAAGAAAAGGCCATAACCAAAATAAAAATAAAAAGAGAAAATGATATCAAGCCTATACGGATCGATGACCTACCCCAAAATAGAAGGTGACGAGCATAAAAGTCCACCTGTCCACCAACAATATCACTTATTATCACAATAGATACTGATGAAATCATACATCATGCATGAATGAAATTTAGACTTATTATAGGCTATATTTCCATTCAAGTAATTAATTGTATATACATGTACAGAAAAGCATCTAATTCAAATTTCCTGCAGGAGCAAACTTGTAGTAAAAAACAAAAGTTAAATTTCATTACATTTTGGTAATTGTTCTGAAAACCCTTTTTGATGTGTAAAATCTACATGCTAGTTTCATAGTGATGTTCAAACAAAAATGCCCATTAAAAGTAAAGACCGTCCTTGTTTAACTTGCACATGAAAATGAAAATGAAAAAGAGTGATTCTGACAGAAGTTGGATTTGTGTTTGTATGAGAAGAGAATTGTATATGAACAATATATATTATGCTAAACACAATAAATCCAATTTCAACCCCCCAAACACCCCATTAAATTATCTACATGTAATGTAAGTGCTTATTGTTATGAGATGGACTGAAGAAAAAGAACTACTTACTGAGTATAGAAGTAAAAAATGACATCACCATCAAAAGCAACATTGATGATCCACAGTGCCAAAAGCACGAAGAAAGCAACAATGCGGAATGCCAGCAACCAGCCAGGATGAATTCCTTTCAGGCATGGCCGCCAAATTTCGTCGTCATACAAAACACCTGCAGATTCTTGCTGGGCTTCTCTGCTTTCCTGTTTTGAATTGCGAGCACCTTCGTACTTATGGATAACAATGGATGAAAAAACCATTGATATCAAGAGCCAAACACCACAGAGCAAGACCCTCCAGTTAAACCAGTAACTCGAGGTGGTTGTATCCACAGTCTTCACTGGCTGCCATGTACTCTTTGATGACCCTGTTAAAAAATTCATGCTGTTCATTCTATTTTCTCCATATGAAAAAATTAACTTGGAATTCCAAAGGTAAAGGGACATTTTTTTTGTTGAAAAGAATTGTTCATACCAAAATGAGTCACATATATATATATATATATATAAATTTAAACAACTTAAAGGACTGAAAAGCTTTTTGCTAGTTATTTCTAACTGGAAAAATAATAATAATAAAAAGAAAGAAAGAAAGCATTCATAAGTACACTATTCTTATGGAAGAGAGAGGCAAAAACATATTTGTAACCAAACAAATTTGGCTATTATCAATTAAATTATTGAAATCCTAAAACCCAGTGATGAAAAACCCTAAAGGCAAAATGGGTAATAGAAAGTAATAAGGGTTTTAATGTGCTCTGTAACAATATTATTACTGCAAAAGTTTTATAAGTAATTTAATTAGAACAATAAATTTCTGGGGAAATGTGAAGCTCAGGTGTCCAAACCAAGAATCAAACACAACACAAAAAAGATAACAAGGAATTAATGAAAATCCAAGTGGACCAAATCCATGAAACCATGCCATAAACCATGTCATTTATGGAGTTCTCATAAATTTCAATATCAGAAGAACTACAGCTATTTTTAGAGCAATGGACACAATACCCATAAAGGATTTGAAGTTTGAACCCTCATTAATGGCTGAAATAAAGCAGACATTTCAAACTTTAGGTGGGTATTTGCATAGAAAGCTAAATTCACAATATTAAATGAAATGAGGAATAAAAGAAGAAGCCAAAGAGATACTTACATGGGAAAGCAAGACAATGTGGAGACGTGTAAGAAGAGATGCTTTGTTTCTCTGCTTTGCAGAGAATTTTTTTTATTTATTATTTTTTTAAAAAATAATTAAAAAGAAAAAAAAGAAAAAAAAAAAAAAAAAAAGGGAGGGAAGAAGAAGAGAGATGATAAAAGGGTAGTGTGCTTTGAGCACAAGCTTCTCTTTCTTTTTTATTTCCTTATCCCCATAAAATCTTGTAACAAAGACCAGTGTACAGTCATGTCACAGTCTATATATGCCCATGCAAATAGAGCATAATAAAATTGCAGATATGAAGGTCGTTGCTGTCACCTTTTCTTACTTCATGCCAGTGTTTTTTAGTCTTTCTAGCTATTGATGATGTCGTAGGGAGAGAAAGTGGGACCATTAAATTAAAATGCTTTCATATGTGGATTTTGTGTTGGATTGCTTAGAGATGCTTCTTTTTAGTGCAAAAATAGGGTCATGTTTTTATACTTAGCTCCAATAAAGGTTTAAAGTACTGGTGAGAGAATCTTGTGGTAAGTTATTGAGCACCATGGATTGGAGCCAAAGTCTACCTTTGACCACTTATCGGAACAGTGGACGAATCTAGAAATTTTATTCACGGTACATTAAGAAGAAGAAAGAATTAGAAGGATTTTTTTTAAAAAAAACAATAATTTTAGAGGGCCATTTCATATAATTTAATAAACCATATGCATAAAATGTAGTAAAAAAATAAAATAAAATTTAATAGGGTACATTGGCAATGGGGCGGGTTTGGCTAAATACCAATTCCGCCCTTACTCCGGTACGGGTTTATAATTATTATACCATCCCCGCCCCTAGTCTATTAGACAAAATACCAACTCCGTTTCATGTACTTCGTTTAATTGCTGGGCTCAGCAGGGGCAGGTCAGGTTATGCCACTTTTATTATGTAGTAAAAAAAACTATCCCAATGTGTTCAAATTGGGCTAATAAATAAGTTGACTTTTAAATTACTAAACAATAAATATTAATATATTAACGGACACTTCTAATAAAGTAACCAGTCTTAAGGATATTAAATATATATAAAAAATTAAAAGGTACATATATAATCGGGACAGGTTCATTACTAAATCCGCCCCTGCGTTAAACTCGTTTTGGATTTTCAATTATTTTACTATATCCGTACCAAACTTATTTAAATGAACACCAAATTCACCATATTAGGGTCAGGAACGGGAGCGGGGAGAAAACCCACTGGTCAGAAGAAATTGCCATCCTAGGTACCATGGCATAAGGGGCAGCTTTGAAAAAAACAAAATTCAGGGTATCATTTTGTAGTATAATTCAGTAAGGTAGGATAATTCAATAAGCTAGAGATATAAAAATTGAAAAATAGTAGTGGGCCAGAATGGGCCCGGGGCAGGTGCCCCTGGGCCCATACTCCCGCATTTGATTTATCCCTAACAAGACACTGGAGTGTATTCATCCATTCAATCGGATTTTCTTTTCTCAAAACAGATTCCACATAAGGAGCCATTTTTTTTTTTTTTTTTTTTTTTTTTTTTTTTTTTTGTGTCAATGCTTGGAATATTAATCCGACTATTTAATGGATTCGAGTGACATTGCTCTAACATTATCATTACATTAAAGAAAGGTCTTAAACAAATAAAATATGTTTATGGTAAAATTACATTATACTAGTTGTAGGCTTGAATAGAAAATTTGTTAAAAAAATACTAGCTTTGTGCATATGTCCTTTTTTTTTTTTTTTTTTTTTTTTTTTTTTTTTTTTTTTTTTTTTTGACAACTATAATAATAATTACATGATCCTAATTATATGGCATCTGTATTATTTTGTTGCAAATGAAAAATAGTTTGAAGAGTTTTATGCACTTTGTTTTATAAATTATTGTGATAAAAATCAGAAATGCAGTTAAAACTGAATAAGTATTGATCACCGGGATTAGGAATAAGATGAATTAAAATTTCTTAAAAAGATGCAAAGCTCACTCTTAACAATATTTTACAAGAACATGGAAAATATTTGGAAAGTGTAGGAAATAATAGTTTATTTTTTTTTATTTTATGACTGAATGGAAGTGTAAAAGTGCAATAAAAAAAATGTTTGAATTAACTAACTATATTATTCAAATATGTATGATGGTCACACAATCTGAATTTTCCTAATTAATACACCATAGTTTACACGCATGAATAAAATAGGATTATAGGAGAGAGAGACAAAGTACTGTACCTTTCATGTTAATTGACTATAGCTAGCAAGGAAAATCAAACTAAGCTAGTGATGAAATTGGAATAAGAAATTAATATATGGCAGAAATAATCTAAATTGGGGGTTTATAGCATGATCATATATTTATATATTTTTTTGAAAAGGTATTCAATTCACTTCTTCATATTTTTGTTACCTCACGATATGTACTTATTCAATTGCTTAATTAAAAACATGCCAGTCGACATGGAAATTTGGTAATGGTACTAGACTTGCAGAGGCAGAATAGGTCGAACCATTATAATCCACTTTGGATATGATCCAGCGGTTTACTCGCTGGACTTTGGAGTTTTGTAAGCCCAATATTTGAAGTTCAAGTCCCGCTAAGTGTTCTTTGTGATTAACCTCTGCTGCACTTACAGTGACTTACTCGGCCCGAGTAGGGAAGTGTCCTTCGGAATCTTCGGGGATTAATTGAGTTTTTAAGGGGCTTTAAGGATTTGTGCCATCTCGAATACCCGGATTAAAAAAAAAAAAAAAACGTAGAACCACTTATAGCAGTGGACTGATACATTGCACTAATGGTGGGTTAATCACTCCAATGTTGGATTTTTGGTGGAAAAGACGGGTAAAGAAAAGGTGTAGCTACAGATATGAGGTGGTGCAGTGGGAGTCATAGATATAGATGGGCGCTACAACATGGCCTAATTGATAAAATGTCCAACTCTTTTAATGAATGTGCTCATATTTGGTTCCTCTTTCTTAATTCATAAGAAAGGGTGTGCTTTGTTGTCCGATCCGTGGACAAGCTCTACAGTGTGATGTGGTGAGCCTCGGTTCGAGCCACTCATCCCCCTCCCCTCAAACCCTTTGCCAGGAATATATATATATATATATATATATATATATATATATATATATGTTCATGCAAATATAAAATTGCAGATATGAAGGTTGGTTCCGTCACCTTTTCTTACTTCATACCAGTCTTTTTTAGTCTTTCTAGCTATTCGATCTGTTGCAGGGAGAGAAAGTGGGACCATTAAATTAAAATACTTTCAAATGTGGATTTTGTGGGGATTGGTTAGAGCTAGAGATGCTTATTTTTTTATTTTTTATTTATTTTTCTTTTTAAGCAAAAAAATAGGATATGTTTATGCTTAGCTCCAATAAAGGAATAAAGCACTGGAAAGGGAATCTTATGGTAGGTTTATTATGCACCATGGATTGGAGCCAAAGTCTACGTTTGACCAGTTTTCTGAACCTTAGATTTTCTTTTCTCAAAATGGAATATTCCACATTAATTATTTATTTTTTCAGTCAATAATGGTATCAAACCTCTTAAAATATCTCCATAATTCGTTCTTGCACTTAAAACCCTAATTGAAAAATATAACCGCGCGAATTGAGAGTTTCCGGTTAGAATTGTATGCTTGAGAATCACTATCCATAAAGTTTAGAAAATGGTTTTTGACATACTAACAATACAAATGGTTCTTAAACCAGGAAAAAATGTTCATGACCAACTGACATCATATAATATTCACATGAGTATATATACATATGGATTATTTTTCTTTCGTATTGCTTAGTCAGTCTAGTTTAAGAGCTTGAATAGCAAATTTTTTTAAAAAAAATCACTAGCTTTGTGCATATGGTTTATGTATTATATTGTTTTGGACAATCATAATAATAATAAATACTCCTACACAATCCAAATTATCATTGCAAAATGAACAATAGGTCGGGGTATTCATGCATATATTTTACCCTTCATCAGGTATGTAATTAAAATTGAACAAACATTGATTACCGTAATTGAGAATAACATAGAATTAAACTTCTCGTAAAGCTCTAACTTAATAATATTTTATAAGTATATGAAATTCTAAAGGCCTGTTTGTCAACCGTTTTGGTTTTGTGTTTTTGCTTTGACCCGAAATAGAAGCATTCAAGCAGTTTTTCTGATTTAGAGTGTGTTCAACACTATTTCAAAACTTGTTTGGTAACGTAAATTTGTTACAAAGATTTTTGGAAGGAAAAAGAATGAAAGCATGTGTTGGTAAAAAGTGTTGCAAGTTTGAAATATTAAATGGCTAGTTAGAAATGTTATTTTAATTTTTTTTTTTTTTTCTTTTTTTTCGAACAATGCTTTTGTTACAATGCATAAGCAACCAAAAATATTATTTTTATGCTTCTGATCTTGAACTCTTCTTTGGAAGCTCTTAGGTATTATTCAATTATTCAAATGACAACTAATATTATTAAACGTATTTCATGCTTTTAATTATTTTGATACAGTATACTAACAAAAATAAAAAATATCAAGTAAAAATAGTTATCAAACGATTTTAAAAATATATAAATAAAAAAATTAGTATTCCATTGAATGGAAGTGTAGAAGTACAATAAAAGAATGCTTGAAATATGTATGACAACATCTGAGTTTTTGATTTCCTAATTAATATATATATAGAGAGAGAATTAGTTCTCTTGTTGAGAGAGATCGTTAATTAATTCTTTTCATGAATTTATTGTTTATACGGCGGGAAGATCTTTAGTCGGTTACAGTTACTCAAGGCATGAACTTACCAATATGAAACCAACACTCAACAGTCAACTAAATCTCCACATATTTCATTAAGGTTATCTCTTTATTTTTATTTTTCCTTTCTAAATTATTTTCATACAGTACTGCTTAATTAGCTCCACCTCCAAGAAACAAAGTCAAATTATGAAATGAAAAGTCATCATCACCACTATATATATATATATATATATATATATATATATATTTACAATTTTATCCCCCTAAAGTAAGATCAAATTATATAATGGATATTTTAAGACAAGAAGGGATCGAATTACATAAATTATTCATCTTCACAAGCAAAGGCAACAATGATGCATATATGTATAGATGATTGCAATTAATTAAATGGTCTAATCATTACAATTAATCATGCATGCATGCATGCAGGATCAACCCACCATGTTAATGTCCTGTTACCTTATAACACATTCTTATATACTAATCATATATATATATATATATATTGCTACAAATGCTCATATATATAAACATATATGTACAAACCTATAAATACACAATATAATATTAATTCAGCACAGATATATATATGTGCAGAGGATGTACCTTTCATGTTAATTGAGCAGAATAGCAAGGATTATCCAATGAATTGCTACTGACGAAATTGGAATTAGATGAAAGAGAGACTAATTTTTGAGAGGGCGTGTCGCAAATGAAAGTGGCTATTTAATAAGTTTATAAGCAAAGCCAAAATGGTGTGTTTAATTGAACAACTTTCTGGTAATTAGTATTTAAGTTCATCACGATGGGATTAGTCAGTTGGTTTCCTTGTTTTGTGCATGCTGTTTATTAGACAAGTCAAGACAGATTTCCAACTCCAAAATATATACAAGAACAATTTTATTTATTTATTTATTTAATACTATTTATTTATTTAAATAAATAACGTCTTTAACAAATTGTGTTTATGTCATGGTTCACCGTATCAGCTGATACGTAATATATCGTTCAGTACTTCAGTTAGTAACTATTTTTTAAGGGTCCATTACCGTTACACACCCCATGAATTGTTTGATTCTGTCCATTTACACCGGTATTCGTCTGAATCCGTTATACTATGACCGTGACCGTTACCGCGACTGGTATCACGATTGCGAAGCATAGTTCATGTATTGTTTGCTATAAGTAAAAAAATATAAAAAAAAATAAATTATCGTTTGCTATAGACACTACTTATCTGGTGTTGGGTCAAGTCTCATGTCAAATGGGCCGAGTGGCGAACCCCAAAGTCAAGAGATTGTGCTTGGCTTTTTCACCAAGGCACATATAAAAATCATATGTACAAATCGATCCCCAACTTTTGGTTGTTTTTAAGCTTGATTTGATTAAATCAAATAGTTATTATAAGAAAAATAGGAAAAAGAAAATCAATTATATATAAATAGGCATAAAAAATATGAAATATATTTGTAGGGGCGTAAATGAATTAAGTTGAGCTAAACTCATACTATGTTTGTGGGCCGACTTAATTTGGATTCAATACGTGACAAACTAAAAAATGTAAACTCGAAATTCGACCACCATCATCTTAAAAAAAATTGGATTCAACTTAATCTAATAGAATAAGGCAAGCAGAGACGGAGCCAAGATATAAGGTAAGGGAAGGCAAAAATGTATTTTGAGATGGTAATAGTCCATTTTTTAAATAAATTTTAGGAAGGCAAATGTAATATTTTATGAACATATTACTGAAAGTAAACAAGTTACAAGGGCAGATTACTAAAAAAAAATAAATAAAATACATCCGTCCAAATAAGCACAATCTCATGTTCGTGTTGAAGTTAGTTTAAACTTGTGTTGATTAAAAGATGACTTGACTCATTTAGTAGCGTATGTAGTATTTAAAGTAAACAAGTTATTATTATATTTTAATTTTATAAAAGTGATTATATACAAGTTTATATTTAACCGTATATAAACATAGATTTGTATTGAAATTTAATTTTTAACAAAATTAATAATTTGAAATAAGATTTAATTGTATTGAACCTACGACACAATCCACTAAAAAAATTGGTTATAACAAAAAAATTCAAATTCTATCCGTTTACCAAGAACTCATTCATTAGCACTTGTTGGAGCAAAACAAGGGAGCGGTGTGAACCAGCAATACTCTTCAGGCGTCTCTCTCTCTCGTGTTCCGTCTGGTTTTGAGCCCCACCATTTTTAAGCATTCTTCACCGGCCTTTTGCTTTGTTTGACTGATGCCTACACACGGAGTAGTACTTATTTTTTCTTTGTTTGACTAATTGCTCTATACCGACCACCACATGTGAAGACGAACTGGAAGAAAGAAAATAAGACCGACGAAAGTACGAAAATACCCTTGCAATATGGGACATCAATAGAGTTTGTAAGCTAAGGTCTGTTTGGTAAATTCACATACACAAACTCAGGTCATCTTATATACAAAATTTTGTTCCTCTGTATATTTAAGATCCACAATATTATTGCATCACTAATTTTTTTTTTTCATTACCTTGATAATGCGATATCAAATGCTAATTCAGTTCATAAATCAAGATTTTGTAATTTAATGGTTCTTTTTCACTTTTAAAAGTAAAAAGTAGATTGTTCAAGTCTTTATAAAAGTAAAAATGAGTGTGTGAGTATTTTTCTTATTAATAATAATAAAAAATTTTTAAAAAAAGGAATCTTTTAAGAGTAATTTTAAATTGAAAAGTTCTAAGTTTTACATAATACAAAAATACTCATACTATGTTTTAAAGTACTAAATTGAAGTATTAGATTTGAGATTGAAGAAATACAAAAATACTCATACTATGTTTTAAAGTACTAAATTGAAGTATTAGATTTGAGATTGAAGAAATACAAAAATACTCATATTATGTTCTAGAGTACTAAATTGAAGTATTAGATTTGAGATGGAAGAAAGTTTAATTTAAAATTTATATTACATAATATATTTTTTTATAATTTTAAATTTAGAATGCCATTTCGGTGCCAAAAAATCACTGTATTTTAGGATTGAGTTGTTGCATTATTGTATTTCGAGTAACATTTTTAAAACTACACGTTGCATTATTGTCGCACTTGATGATGAATAACTAATGACGTTTTCCATGTACATGTTGCAACCAAAATGTACAGAACACAGCTTTTTCAACACACATGGGCTGACCAAACTTAAATAAATAAATTCAAATAATTGGGGTGAGAAAACGATAAGGAAAGATGGCAATGAGAGAGGAGAGAGAAGCAGGAGAAGAGAATATGATTTATTCTCCAAATCCCTTCCTACAAATTCAGCAACAAATGGAATCCATCTTCTCATTCCAAACACTTCCAATCACTACTCTGCAACATTTATTCTCTCTCCTAAATTCTCATCTTAGTCTCCCTCTTCAGGATCATCTTAACGATCGTTTACTTTCTCGTCTCTCTCTCTAAATCTGAACTTTTTGAGGTACTATTTCTTTTCTCTCCTTAATATCTATTCGATTTCAATGCTTTTATATATATGTGTGTGTGTTTTGTGTGTGTGCCTGTATTTATACATTCATCATAATAATTAATCTGTTTATTTATGCGTTGTTTGTTGAGGCGATTTGTTGATTCATCACTCTAAAGTATATATGAATGGATATCTAGCTTGATGGAAGTGGGTTTGTGTTAAGTGATGTATGCTCAATTTTAGAAAATACTAAAATCTTGTGTTTCTATTTTTTTTTTCTTGGTGTTTTCGTTTATGTTTCTATATGGGTATTGTTATTATTTGTACTTTGGTTATTGATTCTGTTGAATAAGAATTCTGAGTTTTGTTTCTACCCCTTAGGTTTCTATGTACCTCTCCGCTTTCAACTGTTATTGAATCCCTTCCTTTATTTTAATCACTCTTTTGTAGAGGTCTGTGAGACGAACTCCGATTGAGGATGATTCTTTCCTATTGATTTCAGTTCTCATTTATTACTGTTGATGTGTGAGTGTATGTCTTTATACACATGTTCGTATCTGCTTTGTTTTTTTAATACCTCAGTTAATATGGGGTGTTTGTTTTGGAAATTTCATAGATTTAATTTGGTTGCTGATGTACTTGTTCCATTGCAATAGGATTTGAGGTTATTATAATTGTGGAATTGGTGTAGTGATAAAGTGCTTGAGTTGATCTTACCTCGCTTACAGTGGTTAGTGTGTAAAATTATGGTATCAGGAATATGTTTGGAGGAGGAGATAACGGCAATCCTGTATTTCCAGTTCTCTTGGAGGAGAACCGCTTCCGGTATGATGCTAATAAACTGCCTCAGCTGCAGTTATTTGGAGAATGTGAGTTTTCTGTTAACTTATTGTCATTTGTAGGATTTCAGTTCTTTCTTTCTATTTATAATTTTGAATGTAACTCTATGGCATTGTCAGTTATGTTGTCTTTTCCATGTTTATCTTCTTTTGTTTTTTCCTTAGGCCATGTTTATCTTATATATACTACTTATATTCCTTACTAGGTTTGCTTTAATTTTTTGAGGTTCACTTTGTGCATTTTAATGAATTGAAATTATATGCACATCCCATATTAAAGTATCCATTATTATCCTGTTCAGCTTTTACACTTGATTTGGTTTGCTTTGATGCATGCTAATTTCATAGACTTAGATGCTTGTGTATGTTTTTTTTTTTTTTTTTTTTGACTGTTCATTGGCCTACATTTTTGTTTGACATCATTAAAATGTTCAGAATTTTGACCAAATGTTCTTTGAGAATGATTTTTTCCTCATTGTATGAAGTCATTTGTCTCATCACTATAGGGCAAATTAAATTACTTACTGCATAGCCTTTAGATAGTCATATGCACATTCCACTTGAAAATAACTGTTTTATTCTGTCTAGCTTTTACTCTTACTTTAACAGTGTTGTTTTAGTAAATGTGCCCCATGATTTGGTGCCCTTTGATGCATGCTACTTTCATAAACTTGGTTGCTGGTGGTAAGTCGTACACAATCCTTGCATTATCCTTTGTATGTGGAAACCATACAACCGAGTGACTCAAACTTATTTTTAAACTTCTAGGTTTGCATGGTTGTTAGATCACTAATTCCTTATTATTAGGACTTTGGTATGTTGTTCAGTGTTCACATACTATTATTTAGCAATGTTATCGGAAGCTCGTGTTATTCTTTATTTTCATTATTTTAAGATAGAACTTAGATGTAAAATAAAGGGAAATTGAAAGTCCAAATATAAAATGAACCTGTTATTGTGATTGTATTACTTATGAATGAGGTACTCTCTTTTTGCCATGCATGCCACTAAATAACGGATGCCATAGTCTGAGCCCCGACTTCCATGGGTCCTTGATTGGATCTCTCATATTGGTCCCCGCTTATAGGAAGGACAGGGGGCCTATTGCTCGTACTTTCTCAGTGAGTGCTCTTTTGTCAAGTTCCCTACCTGATTTACTATATCTTTGGCCTACCAAGCACTTATTTGTTGCCCATTTTGCAAAGTGCATGATATCCTTGCTTTTTCTTTGCTAGGAATTCCTTGTGATGAATCTAAAATCTTCTTTGCTAGGAACTCCTTGTGATGAATCTAAAATCAATATTAAAGTATTTGATGACCCCTTTGTTTTTTTCTCTCAATCATGTATGATGGTCAAAAGATAGGAAAACTTTCCCCGCGGGTAAGAAATAACTTAATAAGACTCTCTCTAAAAATATAAATTCTCTCTTTAGAATATAGAGTCTCAATAGATGACCCAAGACTGACTATAACCCCATATTTATAGCTAATCAAGAGACCTATGTGGTATGGTATTTGGTAAGTAGAATCTTTTTAAAAGTTTGGTTTGAGAGAGAGTCCAAAATAATTTACTGCAGTGTTTGGTGGATTGAGTCGTCAATCAACATCTATTGGAAAACTTCAATTGATTGACCAAGTTGGCGATCAACACCTACTGGAAAACTTCAATCGATCCAGACATTGGATGAAGCATATTGGTTTTTCTAAAAAAAAAAAAAATTTCCTGGAAACATGTCTATCAATCGAGGCTTACTGGTTTCTCCACCGATTGACCTATCAATCAAGTTTTTTTTATTTGATTTTTTTCTCCCCTGAACAAGCATTTAGTAAACAGCCACAAAGGCAATCATAGGAGAGGAAAACCTTCCAATTACAAGACAACTAAAGAACACCCACTTCTAGATATTGACAAGCAGGGATATTAACAAGAAATAATCTTGAAAAGGAAAAGGAGGTCCGTCCTGCAAAGCCAAAGTCGCTCAGTGGTCTACCTTCATTTGAGTTATGTTTGAGGTATTTTACTTTCGCCAAATCTATAGAAAAGCTCAAGTTCTTTTTCTCTATCCTTCTCTTAACTAGGATTAAGTTAATCATGATTCACATCCTCGGTTTGTATGCCATAATTTAAATTTTGAATTGCATCCTCGGTTTGCATGCCATAATTTAAATTTTGAATTGCATCCTCGGTTTGCATGCCACTTGCCTGTTGGCAAAGTAATTGGTCTTGTGTAGGTATAATTGTGGCAGGAGTGCATAACTGGCATGTCTGGAAGAAACATCACATTTTGGGGAACTTAAGGCCCCGTTATGTGTTGCATTCGGCATCATGATTGAATCCTTTTATCTTGCATAAGCAATAGATACCTGACAGGTAAATGATAAGGGCAAAGAACCACAACCATATGTCAGTTGATAAATAAAAAGGATTCAATCATGTTGCCAGTACACCTTTTTTTTCTTATTTTTATGCAACCTGCAAAGATTTCTCGCTGCTACAGCTACACTTCTTACCCTTTTTGCTCTTTAGGTTTAACTTATTCAGTTTGGTAATATTTTGCAATTTTGTTGGGTCTTATAGTATTACCTTACAAAAGCATTTTTGTAATTTATGCTACATTTCCAGTTGGTGGTAATGTTAATCCCTTAAACTACATTGGCAATGAGCATGCAACCACTACAAATCTCCTCAAAAGAGGCCGGGAGCCAGAACCTCTTTCTAGGCGGCAAAAAGTTCAGATATCTTTTAATAATAAATTTTATAAAGATGAAGCTGCTCACACTGGAAGCATTTTGAATTCAAATCCTGTATCAACTGGGCTGAAGCTTTCGTATGAGGAAGATGAACGCAACTCTACTGTTACTTCTACTGATGAAAGCATGAAAGGCGTCCTCCCTGGCACTCTTTCCCACGGCAACATTCTCAAAATTGAGATTGATCAGCAGAAAGAAGATTTTGACCACTATATCAGAGTGCAGGTAATATGGTTTCATAAATAAACTTATTTTGTTCTTTTAAAATGTGCTATTCCGTCCTGGACATTTTTGTTTTAAGATAAAGTAACTTTGGATTTGCAATTTTTTTAATGTTTGCAGTTCTGTTTTCTGGGCATAGCATTCAATTCTTAGAATTTAAAATGTTGGCGGTTCGATGAAAATTGTTTTATTTTTTCATCTCTTTTTTCAAGCAATAGAACTGAACAGGGCAATTGTTTTTTTTTTTTTTTTTTGTGTGAGAGAAACTGAAGTTCCCCCCACGGAAAGTTCAAGCAAATGCACACACACCCACGATGTTACACCTAGCAGGGCTTGAACACTCAACCTCTCCACAAAGGGGAGATCATACCATCTGAGTTACATTGGTTCTTGAGCCACAACCTGGGTTACCTTCTGGATCACCCATTGAAGGCCTGTCTGAAAGAAGTCATTTGAGAAAATGGTGAGCTATGTCAAAAAATGATCTTTAAAACCTCAAAACAAGTAATCTTAAAGAAGCCTAACAATGACCACATAGTAGGGAGTATGTTGAAATTCCGTATCCTTCTAGATGGTTCCATCCAATATGATTGGCTTTTATGCTAATATGACATATAAATTTTGAATGGAGATATTTAATTTAAATCAAATCTTAGGCCCTCGATGTTTAATGGTTTCAATTAGATTTTGGTTAATTTTTCTTTTATTTATTTATATATTTTCAATTGGAGGAATTCAGAATCTGAAAGTGAATAGTAAAAGCTTACTTGTAAGTTTGGAAAATTTTAAGAATGGATTTTATTGGCTACTAACAATTAAGTTAGAAAAAAATAGGAGCAAACTTTTTTATGCTGAAATTGCTTAGATTAATTTGGTGATTACGTTGTCCCGAGAATTTTTTGTTTGCCATTAACTTCTCTACTGGTAGATAATTTTTAATCATGCAGTGAAAATTTGCTTAAAGAGATTGGGTGGTATATTTCACCAGTAGAGAAGTTGTCATAAAGGTAAACATTTTGATTGTATTTGCTGGGATTTGAATAGAAGCTTAAATGTTGAAAATGTGAAGACATAGAACATAAAAAATCCAAAGAAAAAGTTGTCACAAAATTTGTGGGGTTAGAACTTTATACTTGAATATGTGGTATGGCTTCATACTTGTGTTCCAGTGATTGATTCATGATAACTCAGTTTTGTTTTTTGCTCTGGCGACTTCTCACATGTCTTTTGCAAATAGGAGGAAAACATCATGAAGGGTTTAAGGGAGTTAAAGCAGAGACATTCAGATTCTTTCTTGAATGCCTTGGAAAAAGGAATTGGCATGAAATTACACGAGAAAGATGTTGAAATAGAGAACATAAACCGCAAGAACAAGGAACTAGGGGAGAGACTCAAGCAGGTAGCCGTGGAAGCACAGTCTTGGCAGCACAGAGCAGCATGTAACGAGTCAGTAGTTAATGTCCTCAAGAGCAATCTCCGGCAGGTCATTGCACAAAGTGCGGTGCAAGAGAGGGAAGGCTGTGGTGACAGCGAGGTTGATGATGCAGCCTCTTACGTTAACTCCGATCATCAGGGCATGGCGGGCGGTTCTGGAAATCCATTTTTCACGAAGAAGCAGTTGAATTGCAGAGCTTGCAAGCGTAAAGAAGTCTGTGTCTTGTTATTGCCTTGTAGACACTTGTGTTTGTGCACAGATTGTGAAGGGCTTATTGATATTTGCCCTATCTGCCATGTAATGAAGACTACAAGTGTACAAATATATATGCCATGAGAGGCATAAATCCTCATTACCTCTCTGTAGAGGAATAAGTTAAAATGTGATCATAATCACTGGAATTATGAATTTTGCAAAGAATAATTATTAAGTTAATGAAATGTTGTTAAAATGATCTTCTTTTTACCCATGTATGTGTGTTGTCGTGGAGAGAATTATCATGTATCACAACTGAATTGTATTGATTTGTCTGTTACAATTTATGGGTTGCTTTTCTATTTATGTATCAAAGCAAACACAGTGCCTCCAATTTAGCCATTAATTTAGGTTAGTGTGATACTTTGTAGTCAAAGTTAGATTTCAACATCCATTCATCAGGTAGATCAAACAAGCAATCAGATTAGGTGGTTGTTGGTACCGACATTTCAATGTACACATTAAGACTTCCTCTGTTTTTATTTTAATATTGAAGTCATAAAATCTGCAAGAAAGTGGATAGTGAAATTACATTAAGACTACCTTTTGTTTTTATTTTATTCCCAAACAGAATTCATTTTTTTAGGATTAATGTGGAAGCCAAGGCAGCCTTATTGAATGGAGGCAAAAGCATAAAAGCAGTTTACTTGATGCAATCATAAAAATTTAAAACATGACTTAGAATGTGAAGACTTGAGTTTGAGAGCTTAAAGATTCCCTAAGAATGTGGAGATTTGAGTCTAAAAGAAAATAGTATTAAAGATTAGGCATGCATCCAACTTTCATCACCCCACCAACCCCAACAACTTAGACCATACAATAATTTGTAATGGCCTAGTTGATATCTTTAATATCAGGTATGTCATTGAGTTTTGTCCCACTAAACTGAATTTAATATCTTTTACTCACTTTCATTTTTTTTTTACCCAATTTCAATGAACTTAAAATTTGACAGAACGAAAATTTTGATGAATTAATCTTCTTGAAAACTTTAAACAGCTGAAGTTAAGATAATTAACATAAAAAAAACAAAAAAAAGAAAAAGAAAAAAAAAAGAAGCACCTCCATTAAATAAAATTAATATTCTAGTCTCTAAAATTCAAAGCCCTTTTAAGCAAATTTTTATTTTCATGAATAACAATAGTTATTTTTACGTTATCGAATCAAACTCAACCGAGGGACTGATAAACATTTTCAAATTCCACTTAAACAGCTGAAGTTAAGATAATTAACATAAAAAAAAACAAAAAAAAAAAGAAAAGAAAAGAAAAAGAAGCACCTCCATTAAATAAAATTAATATTCTAGTCTCTAAATCAAAGCCCTTTTATGCATATTTTTATTTTCATGAATAACAATAGTTATTTTTACGTTATCGAATCAAACTCAACCAAGGGACTGATAAACATTTTCAAATTCCACTTATTCAGTGTTTAGTAGTATGGAATATGCTCTTTGAAATTGATATCAAAGAAATATTAATTTGAAATGTAAATTAAAAATTACACCGGCTTTATCTAAAGTTTAGGCAAATTACACACAGATAGACCAGTTTAAAGTTAATTACCTTGACCTCTCCTAAATTCGTTTGGCTATCGAAAAATAACCTAGAGTGTGAAAAGTCGGTAATGTCCTTATATTATATTAATATACTCGGTAATATATTACATTTTATACAATGAAATGACAAAATTATTATTTCATAAAATTTGGTTAACAGATTTGTAGGAAAAACAAAAACAAGAGAGGTAACTATAATTTACCCTAAAATATAATACACATTGCCCATACACAAAAAATTATAAATTTCATTGTAATAAAAAGGCAATATTATACACCACCATTGAATCGACAATGCGCAATCCAAAAATAGAAAATTACATTCCCAATTCAATTATCTTGCATGTGTTTTTACACAATGTTATAAGAGTGTCTTTAATGAAATTCAAACTTTCAACCTCTCAACCCTTTTTAGAACATTTTTTCTTTAAAAGGAGAGATCAAAACCCCCATTTGTTTTCCTAGATCTGATTCTGAATTAACGTTTTCAATTTGAAGACCTTATTTCTATTTTTTCCTAGCAGACAAGACGTTAGTATTACTCTATTTCAGAAGAAGGCACATCACATGCACCCAACTCACTAGTAGTAACACAACACTACCTATAGTTTTAAAATTTTATAGTTTCCACTCCCAATTCCTTTCTGTGGGGGTAATAAAGGAAATTCATTGGCGTTAGGTGTGGGATAATTTCCTCTGTCCACCTAAACAGATCCAAGCCGCCAACAATTCAAAATATCGCGAAATTACCCAAATTCCCGAGAATATCCTTCCTTCACTTCAGTTTTTGATTCTCTCTTCTTTGCTATACTGCGCAGGGGCGTACGTTAGTCTTAAACCAACCTCTGTCTTCTTCGACGGAGTCCCCAACGTTTCAGACACACTCTAAAAACTCTCTCTCTCTCTCTCAAACAAAGGGTTCAGACTCTCTCTCTCTTCTCTCTGATCTGGACCTCGAAAATGCAGAGCACTGCATTTACCTTATGTCCTTCGATTTGGCTTCCAAAACCTCGAAGACCTCTAAGCCCTAGCAGTCCATGTAGATTCAATCCTTTGTCTGTATCGTCGCCTTCGAGATCGATTGATTTCGCCCCCGTCAATGGCGTCCCTGCGTTGTCATCTCGGAGATTGCCTTCAATCTCATGTTCTTCATCTTCATCGTCGTCGTCGGGACTGAATAGCTGGATTTCGGCTCCGCCTCTGGTTCCGGAGCGCGAATCGGATGGTTTCGAGGTTAGGGCAACGTCGGTCCCCGAGAGTGCCGGCGAGAGTTCGAAGTCCGAGAGCATGGCGAGCACGTTGCAGCTTGGAGCTCTGTTCGGCCTCTGGTACCTTTTCAACATATACTTCAATATCTACAACAAACAGGTTCGTGATTTTAAACATTTTCTTCGTTTTTTTGGTGTAACTATGCGTTTTTGTTGTATGAAATCTGATGTATTGTCGATTATATTGTTCTTAATTTGCTGTGATCTGGCTTGAAATGTGTGCGCGCCTCTCTCTCTATGTGTGTGTATATATATATTTTTGATAGTTTTTGTACACAAACACACTATACTTCTGGAATTCTTTGTTTCAAGAAATGATAGTTGAATAACCTCTCAAATGAGGCTGAGTTTGGTTAAATTTACAGGATCTGTTCTTAGTATTGTTGATTTTTAGGACTTATGTAGCATGTTAGAACTTGTTGAAAATTCCCACTTATTGAACTTTGTTGAGTTTTTAAAACTCAAATTTTCTAACATGCAAAAGCATGAATTTTAAATATTGCAATGAAAGGATCAATTTTTGCTCTTAATTTGCTTTCCTCTGCTTTTGATTTATACAAATAATGAAGTTCCTGAAATATTCAGATTGTGGACAAATGAATTAAAAATTAGATGACGTGATATAATTTTATCTTATATTTCCATTGTTGTTTAAGAAATCACTAATAAGTCATTTTAATATGCTTAAAGTGCATCAAATTATGATTTAGTTTTCAGACTACCTCAATTTTTGATGTAATTAAGTTTTAAGAGAGTATTGCATGTTAAATTTCTGTGTTGGAACTACTGATAGAGAAAGAATAACATGATTGATAATTTTTATTGTTCACAGGTTCTGAAAGTCTTCCCATTTCCAGTAACTGTAACCACAGTACAATTTGCCGTTGGAACTGTACTTGTTATTTTCATGTGGACGTTTAATCTCTACAAACGGCCTAAAATTAGTGGTTCACAGGTAATCCTACATTATGCTGAAATGGTTGTATTATGTAATAAGTGATCATTTTATCACAGTGGCTAAAAAATTGACTACTGTTTACTTGACAGCTTGCAGCAATCCTGCCGTTGGCAGTGGTGCACACCTTAGGCAACCTTTTCACTAACATGAGTCTTGGAAAAGTTGCTGTTTCATTCACTCACACAATTAAAGCTATGGAGCCCTTTTTCTCAGTTATCCTCTCAGCTATGTTTCTAGGAGAGGTGTGCATTTTATATGTTTTTACTTGTCTTTCTCCTAGTTTATTTGTATGCTTGATGGAGTTTATATTTTTACGCTCAATTCCTATTGGTGAGGTTGATAGAAATTTTCATTCCCTTTAAGTTGACATCATTAAATCTATTTTAGTGAAAATGATCACCATCAATTGCTGGCTTTGACTGTTGATGGGACACAATGTAGGATGATAATGCAGTGTTTTGTACCTTTATATTGACAATTACTCATTGTTGTGTGAGTTGTTTGAACTTTTTCTCTGTAATCATCCTGCTGAAACAGATTCCTACTCCTTGGGTAGTTTCTTCTCTTGTACCAATTGTTGGTGGAGTGGCACTTGCGTCAATGACTGAGGCCTCTTTTAATTGGTGAGGCACTACAAAATCATTTTTTGGTTCTTAGTTATTGCCACTTTTGTTTCTTCCCCAAAATCTGGGAAAATTAAAAGAAATTGAAGAAACACATATGTCCTTCTAGCTTGAGATTTTTATTTACCTTAGTGCAGTTGGATTCTTCTAAAATAACTAGTGAATAGTAATTGAAGTGATTTTTCTAAATTGTATATATGATCTTTATTTTTTGGGTGAAACAGGGCTGGATTTTGGAGTGCAATGGCTTCTAATTTGACCAACCAATCTCGTAATGTCCTTAGCAAAAAGTTCATGGTTAAAAAAGAGGTATTCTTCACTGGTAGTTTTATATCTTCACAGTCACCACAATGTTAGAGATCAGTGTGTTAATAATTTGAGAAAGGTTGTTCCTTTTTATGAATTGATGTTAAGTACTTGTGTGGAGGGCAGATACCTTAATCAATTTGTCATAGTATATTATATATATACATATATACAGAAGTGTTCAGTTGCTCCCTGGTGTGCGGGGAGTGCCATCTGCGAATGACAAGGGAGCCTTTGGATTTGATCCAGCGGCCCAAAAAACAACCAACCTCCTTTTTTTTTTTTTTTTTTTGACAAGGGTATGCCCTTGTCTTTTCTTGTACTCTATTGTTCATATTAATATATTTTTCCCACTTTACCCAGGGAAAAAAAAAAGGTATATGGTTTTTGAATATTCAAAACCATCTAGTGCGTTAAATTCGCATCTCCGATTTTTTGACCAAAAGCTTAACAAGCATTCAAATATATAAAATCCCATCAAATAGACTTGTGCATCTTCTATCTTTGACTCTAAATTTCTCTCAACCAAGTTGCATCAGACAGAAGTTGCAGAGAAAGCAAAGAAAACCACATCAAACTCTAAAATATAATGGGTAGCACGGTTATGGTTTTTCTTTTATTATCAATAAAGCATTACTTTCGTGAAAGGGCTGTGAAATAAGTTTTTGCTTGTACATGAACAGAAGAATCTCAAGTAAACAGTTTAAACTTTTCTACCCTTTCTAACCAAATGAATCATGCCATAAATTGAGAAAAGATGCTTTTTGTGTATCTTCTGGGTGCATTAGAGAGAGAGAGTTTAGTTTAGCCCAATACAGTAATGACCAAAAACCCATAGGAGAGTTGCCGATGGAGTGTTCGCATTATGGAGAGAGAGAGAGATGGACCCAGGACCAGAGAGTTGCCTTTTCATCGGGAAAAAAAACCCGTAATATAGGCGGTTTTGTGCTTTTCGAAACAAAGAATCTTTTGTATAAAGGTGTTTCATTTTTTTTTTTTTGGACCGTTGGATCAAAATCCAAAGGCTCCCTTGTCATTTGCGGATGATACTTCCTGCACAATAATCTTTCTTCTCCAGCACAATAGAAATTGATTATTTTTTATTTATTTTTTTAACGTTCTTATTATTTTAATTAGTACATAACCAGTAGTTTTTTTTTTTTTTTAATACAGGAATCGTTGGACAACATTACTCTCTTCTCGATAATAACAATTATGTCCTTTTTCTTGCTGGCTCCTGTTACTCTTTTCATGGAAGGAGTCAAAGTCACCCCTTCATACCTGCAATCTGCTGTGAGTAAATTTTGAGAGCTAGAAATTGTTTCTGCTTTATATTATCTGGTTCACATAAAAATCATCTTTTTTACTTTGGTATCTGAAATCTATATGGTTTGCTTGTCAGGGATTGAATGTTAAACAGGTTTACATTAGATCGTTCATTGCTGCACTCTGCTTCCATGCGTATCAGCAGGTAAGCATTTCAAATGTTGTGTTTCTTTCATTTTTCTTTTTAAGTCATATGTCATGTTATTAAGTTTGTTTAGTTTATTTTTACAGCAATTGCCCTGGTAAGTGGTTCAAGCTGAACGTTAAAAGTATAACATTCGCTGTAGTTTAAACTGAACTGTTGAATCTGTTGTATCACATCACAAAACTGTGTACTGTTGCTATGATGGGTTGAGTGTGTTGATGATTTCAAATGAAAATGTTGTTCATTTGTTGCTAGTTTGGTAATTTTTGCTAGGCCTTACTTATTTTACGAGTGTTTCTTAATATGTTGCTGGAAACTTTTAGGATGTTGCTGCACATGTTCAAACTAGTTGTGTAATCACTATAAGGGTGATAGATCATGGTCTGTTATGCTACCCACCATATTTGAATGGATGGAACGCCAGGCTGTTAAGAAACTGATGTTACCATCGAGGATGTGGCGACTGATGACTTGGGAACAAAAAATGATGAATTTTGAGAAAGAATATATTGGTGAGAAGCCAATGGTAACACTTGGTAAAAATCGCTGTGCATTGGAGAAAATTACCTATTAATGGCAAGGTCAATTTTTTTGACAAAATGGTCTAGTTATGTGCGCCAAAAGTTATATAGAGTTATGCAGTTTTTTTTTTTGTTTTTTTTTTTTTTTTTTTTTGAAAATGAAAATATTTAGTGATATAGTCAAATTAAAAGTGGTGCAAGGATACGAGGAAGGTAATATAAAAAAGCGTGGGTGGAAGAAGTGAGAAAAAATATTTAGCAAATATAAATAAATATAAAAGGAGCAAAGACCTATTGTTTATATATTATTGGATTTTTAATAACACCTTGCATTTCGTGATATTGTATTAATCCACTGGCTTATACTTGTAGGAATTTAATTTTAATATTTTCAACATTGAGATTGATATTAAAAAAGGACTTTGACTCCTGCAAATGCCGACCACTTACCATTGAGCTATTTGTAGGCACTGAATTATAATTTAATTTATGAACGCTAGTGCGCCTGGGTGCACTCTCTCATTCAGACAAAGCCTCTTTAATGATGTAGAGATACATAAAAGCATCCTGTCAAGTACATGTTGAAAGACTTCCATTTTCTTCAATTTTTCCATCATCTATTATGAAGGCTGTCTTCCTCGTGATAATGCTAATGTGAGTTTGTTATGCAGGTTTCTTATATGATATTGCAGAGGGTATCCCCAGTCACCCACTCTGTGGGCAATTGCGTGAAGCGAGTGGTGGTGATTGTGACATCTGTTCTCTTCTTCCGCTCACCTGTCTCACCTATCAACTCTCTGGGTATGATAGCTTAAATCTGACACAAAAACCAACAAAATATTAATAATTAAAAGAACTCTGTTGGTTTTTTCTTTTATAAGAAAAAGAATATTCTTTGCTGTTCATTTACAGAATGTTTTCCCTGTGTTTTGTTGCAGGTACTGGAGCGGCTCTTGCTGGAGTGTTCCTGTATTCAAGGGTGAAGCGCATAAAGCCAAAGACAAAAACAGCTTGAAGTTTGTTTGAAATTTTTTGCTGGTAGTTCACAATTTTAAGACGAGGAAGTCATATTAAAGAACTCATTTGTACGTTAATCTCCATTTTTTTCTTTTCGGTCTTGGTTATGGTTTTATTCTTTTGTTGGACGCCAATAACTTAAATGGCAGCAAAAGTTTTGATCCGGGAAGAACATTGTTGGTTGTGTTTTTATGTTCTGTGACGAGCACTTGTTAAGTAGTAGCTGTTCTAAATGTAGGATGTATGGTTCCCGTATTTGAGAGAAGGAACGGCGAACTTTTCTACTCGGAGAGAAGGAACGGCGAACTTTTCTACTCGGAGAAAAGGAACTTCTGAATATCAATTCTTTGGTGTATGAACACTTGATTGGTTTGATTGTGGTTAGGCATTTGTCTCCTGCTTAAAATTTGTATGCTTGGAGTAATAACAAATTAACAGTTGATTTGTGTGAGGGATATAAGATGCTTGTTAACAAATTTACAGGGCTGCAATTCAGCTGAGCGTATAGCAGTTTGAGTTGGGCTCGGCTTGATCAATAAAACGTTTGTCCAAGTCGAGTCTTAATAGAGTGGTCGAGCTTGAGTCGGGGCATTACTTTTCAAACTCGAGCTTGGTTTGCTTAGTCAATGTTCAGAGCCCTATTTACGTTGCCAATCAAATCTTCCCGCGCAAGAATTACAATTGAGTTTGAAGCTCACAGTAGATCTTGTTCGTTAATTACAATGCACAGAAGATCTTGATCGTTGGTTGTCTTTATCTCCGGTGAAAGCTAGCTCTGATAGGAATTTATTCCAAATGTACCATTACGTCAATGCCGCAAATATGGAATAACTGCAAGTGCTATGAACATGTCAGCTTCGATAAACAAAAAATATGAATAAAGAAAATAATTTGAATTTCTTTAAAATAGTTAAAATAGTAAACTAACTTCGAAGGCTATGGAAATTGGAAAGTTATATATTTTACTTACAAATTCCTAATTTTATTCCAAGAAATTGTGTATAAGCTGCGGGGGAATAAGTGTTAATTTTCTCATCTTTAGTCAAGGATTTTAATATGAGGGTAAATTACAATGAACACCCATGAACTTTGTCAAAATTATACGAATATTTTTTTTCCCTATAGTTTTGTAATAAATTCTCCCTTTTTTAATGATCAACACCTGTCAATACTCACGTCAGCGATTTAAGATTTTACAATTTCAATTCTGCCCTTCTAAAACAAATTTCATTTTAATTTTTCATTAAAATGTATTAAAATAGTTTAAGAGCAAAATAGTAAAAACAAGCAAATACAGATCAACTGATCAAGTACAGTTTACCCCAATAAAAACCACACATTGAAAAAGATAGGCTTTCCCATGATTAGAGAACACTTTTAAGGTCGAAAAGAAAAACAAAAAACATAAACATAAACATAAACAAAAATTACATCCTTTGCTGAAGCCTTTGCATCCACAAGTTGACGGGAAGCCGGGAACCAAATTGAATCCCACCACCTTACATGATTGCATCCCACAAATCAGGGCCGGCTGGAGCCCGAGGTATGCAAAATATTAAATGGAAGACTTTAACTAAAAATTTCTGCCTAAAGATCATTTTTCTTATATTTTGTATTTTGAAGTGATCAAATTTGTCGTAATACTGAAAAATAATAATAATAATAATAATGATTTGTCGGAATATCCTAATAAAATATCATAAATGCTTATAACACAAATAGTCGTAATAGTTATGTTGGTATTACAAAAATGCTTCATAAGGGGATATCAGTTAAGGTTTCCATAAGGGGTAAAAGGTGTTGACCTAAACTTCTCTGCCACAAAAGTTTGACTGTAGAGCTACATAACAACATACCTAAATTAATCAAATAAAAAGGTTGACCTAAACTTCTCTGCCACAAAAGTTTGAATGCAAAGTATGGGTACTATTATATTTATAAGCAACATGATGATACAACATACCTAAATTAATCAAATAAAAAGGTTGTATTTGCTTCGTTGCATACTTGAATTTAGCTGTGTCACAACATCACGGTTTGGTCTAACGATAAAAGTTTGAATGCAAATGTAAACACTTAAAAATGTGAATTGCCCATTTTGTGAAAAAAGAACAATTTTTTTCTTTTCAGCATCCTGCGTGGGTAAGTTTTTTTTGTAAGAAAAAAAAATTCAAACCTCACTAGTCAATTATTGATATTTATGGCTCTACTAAATTTTTAAAAACTATTTGGGTTTGACAAATAAGTTTTCCATATTAATTACACCCCCAAAAGAAATTTCAGACTGTTTCTTGGTCTAAAATGCCCCTCCGTAATTTTTCATTCAATTTCCCTATATTACAAAATTTATCAAATTGCCTCCAACCCACCCAAAGAACAAACACCCATTTGATGGCCACAATACCCTCTATAATAAATTATGAAAATAACCTCAGTTTCTTTAAAAGAATAAATGAGCTCAAATCAAAGAATAGAGGACCCAAATCAAATTTCATTGAGGTTTTTTTCGTAATTTACACATGTAGAGGGCATTTTGATCATCAAATGGGGTGTTTGTTCATTGGATGAGTTGGGAAATTTTTTATAAATTCTGTGGTGAAGGATAATTGGATGAAAAAGTGCATATGACATTTTTGGACCAAGAAAAAGTTTGAAAAGTAAGTTAGGAAAATTAGATTTTATTGACCAAATCTAAATTAAATTATTACTATAAAGGATTACAAAAATCAAGAATAGATAAATAGTCGCCAAATGTAAAATTTAATTAATTATTCATCTCTCCCCTCAAACCCTAAACTCTGTCGGATCTCTGACATGGTGGCTCGCGCACAAACCCTGCCTTCTGCATCACTTGGGGGCACCACCAACTCTACCGTTGAGTGAGTATATCTAACATACATAACATGATTGTGTTTGAAATCTGTAGGGGTTCTTTTTCGTAACACAATAAAATATATAAAAATGGTGATATCTTAAACATAATAAATATGAAGGCTACACAAAGAACGATCTGGACGAACGAGAAAAAGCAAACTGATCAATGAGAATGATAATGGTGGTATGGGATTATGCAGCTGGTATCATGACAGAGTTCTTAAGTCTTCATTCCTTAATGCTTTCTCTAAGAGTGGTATTTATGGGCCAAGGACCATCAGGGTATTACTCAATGGTCTATCACATGTATTGTCCCTGACCTCATACCTACATAGGTAGGTATGATGCCCCTAGGAACATAAGAGGCCACTTCTTCTCATTGAGCCATGCGATATGCCAAACCTCTCTTATCTTGAGCATTAAATGCATATCAAAGCATTAAATGTAATGTTAAGGCTCTCTATCACAACATATACATCCATTGTCTCATTGATCAGGCTTCTTGCGAAACATCTTCAGACTTATCATCCACCAATCCAAGATCATTTATTATAATATCCCAAGGCTAGGGTGAGGCGTCAAGTATTCGAGATACCTTTATTTCATATTTTATTTGAGCGAGATTCTGACAAAGCTTTGAAGCTTAGCTCCTCGAGTACGTCTTGGTAACCTGGGCGTGATCGATGCCATGGTTTAATGACTCGAAGGCAAGGCCCTCGAGGTTTGGGGACCTAAGGCGCAATGCCAGGGTTTGATGACCTGGTCAGGCGCAATGCCAAGGTTTAGTGACCTGAAGGTGAGGCCCTCAAGGTTTAGAGACCTAAGCACGATGCCGTGGTTTTAGTGACTCAGGGGAGAGGCCCTGAAGGTTTGTTGACCTGGGTGCAATGCTAGGTTTGATGACCTAAGCATGATGCCAATGTTTGGTGACTCAAGAGTGAGACCCTCAAGGTAACCTCAGTGTGATGTTAGGGATTTGGTGACTCGAGGGCTAGACCCTCGAGGTTTGATGACCTGGGTGCGATACCGGGTTTGTTGGCTTGTAGGTGAGTATTTTGACTTTTTAATGTTCCAAGTGGCCTTGATAGTTCAAGTATTTTGACTTTTCAACGTGTCACTTGAAAATGTCCGACAACCACAAAATATTTCCTTATCAATCTCAAGTATGAGTTTGAGCTCTAAATGGCCTCAAGTTTAAGCTTTAGATTGACTAAGCTAGTGAGCAAAGAGATCAGCCAAACTCGAACACTTGGGATTCAACCCAAATTTGAGTTTGAACAATTATTTGATTGATCAAACCAAGCTTGAACCACATAACACACAGCTCAACTCGTTTCAAATCCTAACCAGTGCATGTGTGTGATTAGACTTGTTAAGTCGGATTGTGACCGAGTTTTACATGCATCAAGCATCGGGAGTATGTCTGATGTTAACTGTCATGAACCGAACTAGGTGTACTACAATCAAGACCCTATCAAATAGATATGAGAGAAATATATATAGTAATAATAGATTGGTAGCTACAAACCCAAGGTTCCATACAAATGTTTCAAATCACAATTCAAAACAAGTCTAATAACATACAGTAATTATATTCTCTCTCATACTAATAAGTTCACTTCCAAGAATCCCAAATGCCTGAGCTATATTGGGGCAAGTATTTCTTTTATATATATATATATATATATAATATCATTGTATCTATTAAATTTTATTAAAGAACTTAAAGATTGACTTGGGTTATCATCTCCACCAAATCCAGCTCCTTCTTCACTTCAGTACATTGCATAAATGATGCCAGATGATCATCTAATGGTGGCATCATCTCCAGGTCAAAGCTTTTCTCATCAACAACAGAACCACAAGGCAAGTGATCAAGAAGAAGAGAATCAATAGTACCACCACTCTCTTCAAACAATTTCTCATCCAGAGCGAAATCCGGGATCTTGTCGAAGTCATAATCCGGAACCAGCCGGTCACCGGGACAGAACTCGGAGGCCTCTAATGCCAGATTTTGTGCTTTAGCATGATCATCAGGTTTGAGGAGAGCATGAATGCCAGCAGTACCAGATGAAGCATTAAATTTGGAATTATTGTCATCAGATTTGGCAATAATATCTAAGTTTAAGCTCTGGATATAGTTCTGAAGAAGAGAACTTGGTCTTGGGTGTTTGGAGCGACATTTTCGCCTAGAGTATTGCCTTCTTTTGGTTGCATTCCAGTGGTTCTTGATGGAGTTCTCAGTTCTTCCTGGTAGTCTCTTTGCAATTTCAGCCCATCTGTTTCCTACTTCTGCATGGGCCTGAATTAGTATCTTATCCTCCTCCTCACTCCAAACATCCTTCTGCATGTGCAAACATATATTTAAGAGAGAAATCAATTAATTGCATATATATATATATATATATATATATATATATATATATATAGGGAAATATCTCTTCCACACCAGTGAGTAAAAAATTTTCTCAGGCCATGTTAAGTATAGTGAGGGTTGGATATGATAGTGAAAAACAGGTACTTACCAAAAAAAAAAAACATAGCAATCATATACAATAGTCACTATACTTGACGTGAAAAAGTTTCTTGCTGATTAGTGTGCAAATGATCATTTCTGTATTATATGTGTCTGTTTTTATATGTGTATATTATGAACATATTACTCCCATGATGGTGAATTTGGCTTGTGAATTGTACGTATGAGATTATACCAACATGGCGACAAATTAAGGAAAAGGCTGCAAGGCACAATTTTTTATCTTATAAATGTGGCATTATTGGAAAAAAGGAAAATGATTTTTGAAAGGACCAGACACACTAGAAAATGATAAAAATAAAACAAAAATAATAATTTTTGGATCCTACTTCACTCCATCCAAAGAATGCAATGATATTCGGCAAACAACCGGACGAACCCACCGACGTACTATTTGCATAATGACAATCTCAAAAACCAAATGAATCCATATGTGTGTTGAAGGTAGTTCGTGAGTAGGATTAGATCGAAGATCGTTCCTCGTAAGCCAAGAATCTTGAGACCAGCAATCAAGTGGAGATCCAAGCAACACAATGAATTCTCTAGGTATGGAGATTAAGAAATGGAAGACTGACCTCGGTACCGTATGAGCTCGAGCTTGTCAGAGAATAGCTATTAATGTCGGAAGTTGTTGTCTTAAAGGCTGATTAACACCCTTTATTTATAGTGTTTACCTCATCGGTCAATGTCTTTTAGTCCTTCGGATGAGTCCGCTCTTACCCAAGGGTTTAAGGGTCTTTTCTTCTGACGGATGAGACATTGATGGATGGGCTGCGATGCTTTGCCCCCCAGTCAAAAGAGGTAATGGCGCTCCCTAATTAATATGGGTCTTATCAAATGTTTTTCGCAATTAATGCGTCATTTATCCTTCCTTGCTCGAGCTTAGGTACCGAGTATCCTTTCTCCCTTGTGTTGGTCTCGAGCTGAGGCGAGCTCTTGGATCTCAGCCACCTATCCACATGTCCTCAGATTCCTGTACTTCAGAGGGAATAGGTCCCTTTTGAGGTCCTGCCTTCATGACCTCGCAGGGCTCTATCCCTATTTTATCCTGAGGCTTCCTTAGCCGAGAAGGGAAGTGTGTAAAACAGGTTAGCCGAGGTCGCTCTTTCAAAGAGCACCCTCGAGCGAGCCAGGGGGGGAGGAGCCTATCTGATTAGAGCGGGGCACGTCCACAGTAGAGGAAGGGTAGCGACCCCTTCCTCGACCAGCGAGTTCAGTTATTGGATAGATAGCTCGAGAATACCTAGTCCACCGTAGACACGCCAGGTAAGCGCTGGCCAGTTGTGCCTACGTTACAGAGGATCGTGGCGCGGTAATCAACAGTGTGTAAGTGCGGCCATTGATTTTCATCCTTGTGTGTATTTTTACTTGTAATAGGTGAGATCGGACAATCACAACTGTCAACTGCACCAATATTGTAGCATGAATCTTTCCAACAGCCATGAAAAATGGAAATTAATAATGAGTAGTAGCAGTTGTCTTTTTCGAGCAACTTCCTTTTCATTTTTTCTTTATTTTTTGAAATTATGTCTTGAGTTCTTTATAAGATTTATGTTCAAAATTATATGCTCATATAGCACTCATGACCAAGTAGCAGATAATTGAGTAGTTGTGTGTGTGCGGACAGTGGAAGTATATGTACATGCATATGCTGTATAAATTGACACCTGTCTATATGCATCTATGCTCTCGTCTGTGTATTATATAATCGAGCAAGCTTAATTTCCTAACCTATGTGATTTAGCAAACTCACCTTTCTGATAACACATCAACCAAAAATTCAAAGCAAATTCGTAAGCAAACTAGGGTTTCTGATTTTACAGAATAGGATACATATATATATTGTGTGGGTAAGTTACAGAATAGGATAGTTAGAGTGCAATGTCAAATGAAAATAGCAAAAAAAAAACAGTTCGTGAGTATACATATCATGCAGAAAATTTATCTATATATATAGATATACAATGTGATCACTTTCTATGGTGTTATCATATGTATATAGATAGATATATAAGACTAATATATTTACCCAAAAAAAGATATATAAGACTAATATTGTGCAGGGAGTAGGGACACTTTTCTGATTCTACAGCTAGAATCATTTGGTGATGCATCAAGCAATTTAATCTCAAGTTATAAGAATATGTTTTATATGCACTATATATAGCTAGATTGGCATATACTAGGGAAAGACAAAGATAAAATTGTACATTATACACATATATATATATACACACGTATGATATATATGTTTGATCGGTAAGAGTAATAAACATTGTGTATAGTAAACATGAAACGGAGAATAGATGGGAACCTTGATGTCCGGCCTTAGATGATTGTGCCATCTCTCTCTACATTGCTTCCCTATCCTTCCTTTCAGCATCTGAGCAATATGAGACCATTTCCTCATTCCAAACTTTTCAACCAAATGAACTAAGAGTCTGTATGCATATACATGAATAAATTTATATCATCAAACACAAAAACCGTAAAAAAAAACATATAGTTTATTTTATATATATATAGCTAAAAATAACAATGGTACGTCAGTAGTTTAGATGATATGATATCTCTTCTCTAAAGAAAAGATCAAGTATTCAAGGTCTGATAGAGATAATATTTGTGGGCGCATGAGTTTGATTGAAGTAATTTTTAAAAAAATAAAAAAGAATTAGCCTAAAATCCATATAAAATACTAAAAGTAGATCTTGTACTCACCTGTCTTCTTCAATGGTCCACTGCCCCTTGATTGAATTCGACTTCTTACGGCTTTTGCATGCCTTTTTATTCGACTTAGAAGCACTGTTCTTTTTCATACCAACTTCCTTGTAGTACCCATTATCAGCCATTATGCATGAGCCCTCATCTGGTATCACAAAATTCATAGGTTTGGCCTCTTGGTAACTTAAGGGAAAAGTTAGGGTTCGACCGGCCATGGTCACGTCGACCGGAGTTTTCTTAGGGTAATTGAAATATCCACCAACCTGAAAATTCTGCATGATTGCACCATTTCCACCATTTTCTACATGAAATGGCTTAAACTGCTCAAAGAAATTGAGATTATTCGAATTCCCATGCGAGAAGGGGTCGATAGGATCGAAACAAGTTGTTTGGACCCCGGGTTCAAGGTTCACTAAGGACTCATTAAGCAAAAACTGATCAAAATGGTGAAGATCTTGGAAGAAGTTCTTGGATGAACAAGATTCAAATGAGAACTCATCTTCGATTTCGGGTTTCAAGAAATTATGGGACAAGAGAAGTGGTTGATAGGTGAGATCTTCTCTGTACTTTGTGTCTAACTCCATGGGAGAGAAATTAAGCATGAGAAAGTGAGGAAGAAATTGGTTTAATGTAATGAAATTCTCTCCTTTCTCTCTCACTCTCTGTCTCTCTCCTTTGTGTTTCTTAATAGGTGAGGATTTGAAGGCATTTATTATGTTGTGGACTGATCTTGACCCTTTAAATCATGGGTTGATCCAATGGTTAGAATTGCACAGAACTAGTGAGTGTTTGAGACTTCACTTCTAGTCAAGAATTCAGATTAATACTTACCAAATTAGAGAACATTAATAATGATTGTGCCTTAATGTAATTTTCCATTTTTAGAAATTTGGTCAAAGGGTCAAAACTATTGGACACCTGAGATAGTAATCCACTCCTAACAGCTTCTTTGGATTCATTCCAACTGGGTACATGTCAGAAAATTACTGGGTGTATAAGCTCATTATATTTGAATTGGTATATATTTTCGAAGTTAAAAAATATATATCCGGTCTACTAATGCCACATCATTAGGTTACTCTAGTCACGGCAGAAGCAGATTTCTTAGAGCCTCAGTCAATTGACCCATTTGACTGAAATTTAGGTCTCAGAGACTGTGCAAAGCGTGGCAAAAAGAAGTAATAGATTTGAAAAATTAGTTGCAAATTGACCATTTTAGCCTGTAATTCATTTTTCTTAGACTAATGAGGCAATTTTGTTGGAGGCTTATTTGGAAAGGCGAATTAGGCAATTAGTTGAGGATATTAGTTTGGGATGTTGCCTAACTATACTACGCCCTGAGATTATGCTGCGCACACACACTAACACGCAGAACACACATACACACATATTTATAATTCTTTCACAGCTATGTTATATTTGAATTTTTTGTCCAACAATCAAACTATAAATTAATCTATCTTCCTCCAAATTCGAGTAATGTATGTTACTTTTACCTTTTTGGAACAGAAAAGATTTATTGGGTGTAAAAATACTAATTTGGAGAATAGTTTCTTAATCCAAAAAGTTAAATCTATTCGCAGAGAGAATAAAACTGTAAACAATTTTTTAACCAGCATGAGTGGTCCTATTAACACCAATGGTTTCTTAGGTAGCTTCTAACTATTTTGACACATTCTTTTTACTTGTAAACATATTTTTGTATAAAATATGATTATAGCAATAAAATTTTCTCAAGAAATTGTTTAAATCTAGATGATTTTTGCACAAAAGTTTCTGAGGTTAAGATCTAATTAAACTCGGTTAACAGTCCTAGTCAAGTCAAAACTAGTTTCCAAGTTAACAATTTTAATTCACTGAGAAAACATTAAAAAAATAAAATAACATTTTTTATTACATGGGGAGTCTTAAAAAGAAAAAAGAAATTTTGGGGGACAATCAAGTCAAATGATAGTGGTATCAAAACTAGGGTGCTATTAAAAATAATTGTAGGAAAAAATCAAAAGTACCCCTGAAATTGGGTTATGTAACTGAAATACAATTCAAACACAACATTTGTCTCACTAAGTTTGCATTGATTTTGAATTTAGTATTGTCATTAAATGTTAAAATTAATGGTAAATTTAGTCCAAGATAAGGAAACCCATTTAAAACATGTTAATTTCGTTATTTATTTATTACCTCTGGTAGAGATAGAGAGGTCAGAGAGTTACGTTAAGTGCTTTATTACCCTTAATTGTGTAACAAATGTTGTTTATTATTAAATGTATTTTTTTTTTCAGGAATTATTAAATGGAATTGTAGAAATTTAAAATGTGATAGCTTCAACAAAAATGGAGTTGAGATGTATATCTTAGTATTTATCCTCAAGGTATACAATATATATCAAGTATTTTATAAACATCTTACCATCTTTCTCTAACCACGTAGGTCAGACACACACCATTCTCATTATTTGAATTCTTTTGGATGAACTAAATTCTTTGCCAGTAGCTTTGTATTTCTTTCCTTATATCCAACACAACATTCTCATTATTTGAAATGGTTTTGCTAAAAAATGAAAAAAAAGTTGGGATTAATTCGTATGGAATATTAGGTATCAGTTATCCTAGGGGCGCCAACAAGAGTTGTTGGACTCTGCAAGTTACAAGTCTAAAGGGCGGGTAGTTGCGAGGGTTCCATGTTATCCAAAAAAATAATAAATAAATATAAAAAGGAAAAAAGAAAAGAAAGTGAAGATCATCTCCTTTACAAAAGCTATATCCATAAATAATAGTTGATTGGTAATCTTTAGCTGATCTTGTTTTAGTTTTCTAAAGTAAATTAGTTAATATGGTATAAATTATTTTCTTTTACAAAATATTTGATATCCAACTAAAAGTAATTGTAATATCCAACAGAGAAGTTAAAAAATATTTTGTTAAACATAGCTTTACTCCTTTTATGGAGAGAGAAATGGTAGAATGATTTACAGATCGATCTTCCGAAGAAGCCCATGCTCTCTTTCTAAAATAGAAGACACCAGAAGTCTGCCATGTTATTAAAATATATCTAATTCAGTTTAGAAGACATGAACATATCAGTAGCTAATTGGAATACCCCATGTTAAGAGCAAATTTTCAGGTCTTCAAGAGGATGAGATTAGAATGGCCCATCTTCAGGTTTTTCTTTTTTTTTTTAAACATGTAGTATTCGCGAATCACATGACTTTTTAACAAACATGTAATATTCTGGAATCACATGACTTTAATAAACATGTAACATTCTTTCTCAGTTATACTCCCTGCCTCAACCCTCTGAACAGCAAGACAGTATTGTTTAGTTGCCTTGTCCTTCTCATGTTTACTTATTTTCTCATACCACTGCACACTTTGCACCACCTTCACCAACCTTTGTTTGGCATAAGCTTATTTGTTTCAAACATCATATTCCCAAACATAGTTGTATTGCTTGGTTGGCAGTGAAAGGAAGATTTTACACACTGGACTCTAAACCTATGATGCACAAGCTCTATGTTAACAGGTGCTACCTTTGTAAGGCTGACATGGAATCAATGGATCACTTGTTCTTCCAATGTTGTTTTAGTTCACAGATTTGGAACTTCATACAAGATATTGCAGGGTTCTACATTCTACCAAGCTGCTGGGTGGATTTGATCAACTGGTGTTCAGCTCATTGGACCTCAGCAAAGTTCTTGATTCATAAACTCTTACTGTCTGCAACAATTTACTTTCATTGGCAAGAAAGAAATGGTAGAGCTTTCAGGAATGTTTCCAATACTCCTCATCATGTTATCTCCTTGATAAAATCTTGTGTCAGAGCTCAATTATCTGCAATTAAGTTCAACTGATCATGACCTCCATAACCTATTTGTCCAGTCTCGTTCCTCATCATGTGTGTATTCGTGGCTGATCCCATAGGGAGGTATTGAAGTTTTGAGTTGAACTCTAACCAATGCTTTGGACTGTGGTAGCTGTGCTTTTGCTGTTGTAGTTTGGGTTTGAATCATAGGTTTATTTTGTGTTGTATTTCCCCTTCTTGGAGGCCATGTATATCCTCTTTTTTTATATACAAGTTTACCCTTTAACCAAAAAAATAAAAAAAAATAAACATGTAACATTCTTGAATGATATGACTTTTTTTTAAGGTTTATTGCGGGAAAAATGTCAGAAATGAAAATAAAAGAAGTTTGAAGAATTTATAATTCTTCTTGTGGGGTATATCAAAATGAAAAATAAAAATAAAAATAATTTATTTTCAAATAATAATAATTGATTTTCATATCAATCAATGAGAATGATAGTCAAACCCAAATTTCTGTTCTAAGAATGGAAATCTAAACCATAGAAATCTAAACCACATTTGTGTTGACTAATATATTTGAGGAACGCCTTATTGTCAGTTTCTTCCAACATCTTATAAAAACTATATTACAAATATTCAACCTATCATCCTTCATCATCCTATATTATATTAAAGGTAGAGAAAAATATGACCCATATATATACATGAAGTTCACGAGAAAACTTTATTTATTTATTATTAATTTAAAAAAAAAAAATCCACAAAATATCAATGTTATACTTTCACAAAATATCAATTGTTAATGCATATGTATCACATTTTAATTTTCACGTAATGTAGCAACACATTGTCGTGTTTAAAAGAAGTTGAAGTTGTACACTTTTGGCATTATTTCATATGTTTCCTTTTCCATGACTTCCAATATCTTGAGGTCCGATATATCATAAATTTATGGTAATTAGTATATCGATGCAATAAATTTTTTAACTCTAGACTCACTTATGAGCCTATTTAGTCTTCATTCGTTGACTGAGACTGTAAAATATTTTTAAATAGATAGTATAAAAATAAATAAATAAATACAATGAATGTATTTACCAAACAACATCGTCGTTCTAGAGAAATATTTCAAGAATTAATTATTTGTTGAAAATTAGAAAATAGAGTTCAAATTGTTGTGAGTTAGAATTATCAAGCGTTAAGATGGATGGATGGATTTTGGGTATACACTTTCAACATGCCACTTATTTTCCTAATTTTTTCAAAAATAATTTAGTCTTCATTTGTTGTATGGTTTTACGAATTAATTAATTTGCACAAGAGTTTATGCAGTTCAAATCCAAATTCTGTTAAACTAATCAAATGAGTTTCCAAGTTAACAGTGTTTTTCACCCAAAAAATAAATAAAAAATACTAAAAATTAAATCTTTTTAATTACATGGAGAGAGCCAGAGCCAGAAAATAAAATGACTGCAATTCAGTCTTCTGTTAATCGTACGAAATAAAAGGCTGTATTAGAATAATTTTTTTAAAAAATAAAAGTAGTCTTGAATTGCGTTGTGTAACAAATATTCGATTTATAAACAAAATTGAACATCTCACCCCCGACTTTGAATCTCCTATTGGCACTAAGTGTTAAAATTAAATTTGAAGGAAACCCATTTAGATATCTCATCATTTATTAATTATCTCAGTAAGGGATGGGGACCTAGTTTTACTTTAGCAAATTTTATTTCTTTTTTTGCCCTTTTCATGTAGTAATTTTTTTTTAGCCTTTTCA